ATACAGGTTTTGAAATGTGTTGGAAAAAATTACCGGTATTCTGTGTGTCGTTCATCAATACAACCATGATGAATAATTCACACAACAAGCATGCACACATTTTTGCGCACGAATTACTTCATTAACGCGCCAAGGAATCCTCGCACGCATATCGAATTCATTGATCGAAGTCGTGGCTTGTTTTCTCACTGGTAAATATACAAAAGCATCAACTTGAGAATCATATCAAGTCTATCTAAGTTTTTCCATTTTCCTTCTTCCTTATTGATCTTAATCACTGGCTGGATGATGGTGTCAAATGATAAATAATTACAAAAAGGAAATAATTATTAACATCCTTCCTATCTACGTTGTCTTGTTTTGTTGCATATGTTACTAGTGGGCCTCTTTTTAATTCGACGATTCGTATTCCAAACAATTTTTCGTCGCAACAGACACCATGTTGGTAGCGTGGCAAGTCCCTAACTAAGAGCCACCTGCCTATGGATTGGATGTATTGTAAAACTCCGGTGGCCTCTTGTAGATATCAGAGTACACACAGCAAAGACGAATTTTTCTGATGGTCTTGAATATTTTTATGCCGCCCACCGCGCAAAACCGCAGATTGAGACATTAAAATGGCTGAAGATTGGCCGTGAGATTGCTGCAGTGAAGGGGGGTGCCTGGCTCGTGACGCTATTTGGGCAGCCGGTGGTCCGGCAAGTAACAAAAAGAGTTATTAAAATTTTTTATGAGTCGTATCTAAATGACTGAATCATTTCTCATGATTAAAAAATTCATAATGATACCGAGAAATAAATTTCTCAGTCTTCAAATGTAAATAAATGTACACATCTTGCTAGAGATATTACTAAATGTTGAAGAAGAATTACTTATAACTTTTTCAACAAAACAACCATTTTCTCGCGTGCAGGAAATTATATTTTGTAAATTTCCATGAAATTAACTTTAATTATTATATTTATATTCACATTAAGTATTAAATTATTGACGAGAAATGGATGTTTTTTTGAAAACATCACTGAATACATAGTTTATTATGATTTTTATATTAACCTTAAATATATATTTTTGTTAAATTTATTACATAGTTTAATAAATAGTTATTCAATTAATTAAAATGATTTGTGTAAAGATGAGCAATTTTAGTGTTTCAGTAAAAAAAATATTTAAACAAGAAAAAAATGTTGGGAATGGTTGTATTCAAGCTTTCCAGGTGTTGATAAATAAATAAGTTAGTTAAAAATGCTTGAATAATTAATTATTTGGACAGCAAAAAAGCAAGAGTACTAATTAAAATATTTTTTAATTAACCAGTACTAAATAATAATAATAATAATTCCAGTTCTTTATGAGCTCATAGCTTTTAGCAAAGAATGCTATTTAGATGTTCATACAAATTCTTATAATAAATAAGGCAAGAATTAAGTATATATGTATTTATTAATGCAATCCATGTGGCTCGTTAAATGTACGTAGAGAAAAGAGTATACTGGTTCATGTTTGCACTTCAGCGTCTAATTGTATAGCGCGTGTTTCACCGTGCGAATAACGTATAAATAACATGGTAATATAAGTCATGTATGTACCATTACCCTCCTCTTGGGCTTTGGACTATATAATCCATAAGTATTTTTCGAATCCTTTCTCTTTCGTGTCTCTTTGTATCAATCTCCTTCCCCTCATTCGTGCCCCAAGGAGTTTGCCTACTGGCCTCATATACCTGCTGGTCTTATTTGGATTAACTATGCGACTGATCGGGATTATAAATATCTTTATTAACAAGGTGGAAAGTATTACTAGTCAAGGCTACTTCATCATTATTGATTCTTTATGAGGTCTACTTGATTCACACTATGATTTGAATTTTTTTTTTGTAATAAACATTTTTCGTACATGTGTTTCTGGGCTGGACAAGCACCAATAAATATGTTTATTCTAGAATTATGTTTTAAGGGGAGTTAAAGTGATAAATAATTTTTTTTAGCTCTGCTTCGTATTTTATAGTCATTTTTTTTTTAGTTTAATGGAGTTTTTAGGATAAAGTCAACTATTAATTTTTTAATTGCTTCTTTTTCGAAATTAATTATTAATTATGTAGCTTGAAAATTAGTCTCAACAATGAATTATTTGTAGTATTTAATAATAATTGGAGCAAATAATTTTTGGAGTACAATAATTGTTTTTAAAAAATTTTTTAAATTAGTTGGTTACAATTTGGAGTAATTTTTTTATTTATTGAGTAATTAAATATTTTTTTAATTTTAAAATATCTAGGTATTTAAATAGTTTCATTCTAAATATCTAGAGTAGGGTAAACACTAAAAGATGGATAAAAAAAAAATTATAAAAGATAAAAAAAAATGTTCAGTAAAACTAATTAAAATGTTTAATAAAGATTACAAATAAAGCATAAAACCTTTAAATATATTAAACAAGAATTAATTGTTAGGTAATATGAAGACATATATTTATTTTACAGTATGTTTAATAAAATTGGAGCAAAAAATGGAAATACAAAGGAATGAACATTAATATTAGATAATAAATTTAAAAATAAGCATCTACACTCCATTCATAAATTTTCTGAAAAATACAGAACTGACTAGAGATCAAAAAGAACAAAGGCCTCCAAAAAAAAAAAAAGCGGAAAAGTAAAGTTAGTAAGCGAATAAGCGCCAGCTATAGATAAAGATAGATGCGGCGAGTTTCCGGCGTGTCGAGTTAACGACTCGGATTTTATCTGTCGTATTTTTTGTTTTTCAATTCTTTTTCGTGTAGCTCGGCAGCAAGAAGAAGAGAATAAGACAGGCCACGGTGCGTATTAACGAGGCGAGGGTGTGTGTGCGCTTACTCGTAGGAAAGTGCGACGTCCAAGTAAGAAGTAAGAGGAATACAGTAGTACAGTATAACCGAGAAAGAAAGAAAGACATAAAGAAAGAAAATAAGAAGAGGAAGCAGAGAAGAAAGAAAGCAACGTGCACACATCGAGTCATCTGGCACTCAGCAGGATTCGAAATAGAATCAGCGCGGACTCTGCCGGCTGTACGAAGCTGAGAAAAAAAAATGAAAAAAAGGCGACCAAGTAAAACAAACAGGAGAAGAAAAGCCGTCGGCACCGACGACATTACGAGGATGTGACTCCCGTTCTGTAATTATGCACCCGTTCACGCTCGTCATCAATTATCGTATAAGTCTTGTCAAATTATCATTTTTTTATGTGTTGATTATTTGGATATCCTCCAAGAAATAATTATTAACACATATTGCCTCTTGCACACACTGATTACATAGCGTTCTTCATTCATTTATTTCCCTCGAGTCCATTCTCCAACATGTCTAACATCTCAAAATCATTTATTTCCTTTACCTCCATTATGCAATGCCTTTTTGAATTACCCCTTCAGATGATGCCTTCTCTCTTTGTGCTATTTCTCAATTATCTTTTCTCCTCTAATTTATTCAGATCATTTTTTAAATGCTTCTCACTATTTATTATTCATTTAATTCAATTATTATGCCACATTTCATATTTTATTTTCCTACCAATTATTCTCTTTTTCAACCTTTCAGCACATATTCTTCTTCATTTATTTTCATTGATGTTGATGATAATGATGATGATAGGATTTGCTTTAATTAAATTGTTTGAAGTCTAATTAAAGCAAAACACTTGATATTAAAACAAGTTTGCATTTAAATCTAAGGAGAGTGGTCGTGAGAATTTGATCAAAGATTATTGGAAAAAATGCCAAATAGATGACCCTGGAACAAGAGGGAGTGATTTAGATTAATACTTCCGGTGGGTTTTTAACTGGTCGATTGGTGTGCGAACGTTTATTAGCTTATTGACGTTACCGGGGGTTCGTTGGTGGCAAAGTGGGTAATCGAGATTTGTGGACTCTGGGTAAACATCAAACATGGACCCGGTGCTCACTAGTTCTAGCCATTCTCTTTACTCTGCAAACCAAGCAAGTAAATAATATATTTACATCATATGTACATACACTTGTCATTTATATATTTGCACAAAAACTTTACATAAAAATGCTCATTGAATCAGCTTCTAGCTGCTACTTTTTTTTTTCTTATTCCAACATCATCTGCTTTCCTTATGATCATTTTTCTCAACTCCTGTAATCGGGTTTATTTTGTACAGGAGATTGAGTCAGTTGACGGTGCGTCGAAAGAGGAATCCCGCAACTCGTAAGAGATCTTGAGTCGGATCTTTGAAGATGCACTTTAGTCAGACACACGCCATTTGCATGGATTTTGTGCGTGTCCAATCGCCATCCCTCAAATGACTGTCTAGTCTTCTTTATTTTCTTCTTATAAATGTATATATTCGTCAAGAGATGCTTTTCGTACTCTCTCTTACTCATTTAAACTTTCCAGACGTTGACGTGCCACAACATTGACTTAGGGATCATTAAACGAGGCACGTACATTCTCTTATCCTCATATATGTTACCATGGTACACCATACTAAGCTTCTTTTTAGCGTCCCAGAAGAAGAGCTTAAGGTCTTTGTAAAAAATACTTTCATTCTTCCACACTTTTAGAATTTTCAAACAAAGTAAATTACCTTTCTATGCAGTTTTTTTTTTTAAATTCATTATATTTTTCTTTGAAGAATTAGTCACGTTCTCTTATTGAAATTGAGGTATTCACTGGAGCCAGACTCGATTTATTATTATCGAAAGAGTACATTAATTCTCTAAAGTGTAGCAGAATCGATAAATTCTATTGTAAACATTTTTATAAATATTTCTTCATTATCCATTTTTTTTTTCTCTAGAGAAAAAAAAATGAAGAATTCATTATTCTTCTTGAATTTTTACCATCATTATCTCCAACAATGCTTAGAATTTCTATTTAAAACCATCTAGGAATTTTACTTTTAAATTAAAAAATATTTAGCAGTAATTTATTATTTAAATAATATTTAATTGAAATATAAAAGAATATTTAATAAAATAATTATTTGTTATTGATTACAGATTATCGGGTGGCACGCCAGCAATCGGTAGCGCAGGCAGTCCAGGTGGTTGTGGAGCTGCCAGTGGAAACGGCGGTAATTCGGGAGCTGGTGAAGCACCGACTGGACCAGGAGGAGCACCCGGTGCCACTGCAAACGGCACAACAACCGGGGATTTCTTTCGGCGAAGTCATCCTCTCTCGGATCATACGCCTCTTCATCCAGCTTATCGTCTCAACTACATGGACCACCTTTATCATCAAATCCAGGCCTCTACTCACAGTCCCAACGCCTCATTACACGGTAAATTTTTTATTTAACTTTATTGTCTCAATAAATTTCACATCAATGACTCTCGGAAGTGTCTCGACGTGTTGTGAACAATGCGACAACACCCGCACATCCGTTTAACAATACAATAGGACTTATCTTACTTCCTGAACTTTGTCTAGATTATTGAGATCATCTTTTTCATTCTAGGGCTGGGTGGATTGGGGCCAGAGTACCTTTTACACGCAGCTGGACCAGCAAGTACCCTTGCATCCTCGGAGTTTCCCTTTTCCATCGATGGTAAGAGCCCAGGTAGATTATCACTGATGATCTTCGTCTAAAAAATATCTCTGAAAAAAAAACGACAATCGACCATAGACTATTTTATCTCTACATGTTGTCAAGGGATAGAAAGCTGTTTGAGGAGGAAGAAAGTTCTCAATAATTTATAACAGTGATCTTTTGGAAAATATTTTCTATTTTCCTGATAGTAGATAAATTTTAAATAAAAATGTCACGTAATTGATGACTAACATTAATTGTTGAGGATAAAGTATTTTAAAGTTTAAGTTATCAAGGTGGTTTTCTCAGCTGACATGAGTATGCACTTCATTAACATCAAGGAGACATTTATTAAAATACTTTTCCAATGATTAGAAAATAAAATATTGAAAAATTATCACTTTTTAAAGAAAAAAAAAAAAAATAACTTCCAGTGTTGATGAAATAGATTGAAAGCTAACAGTGCTTCTAAACTTTAACGATGTGGTAAAAATAGTAAAGTTAATTTATGACAATGTAGCTGTTAAAAATGATTCATTTGACATTTCTTATTCTACTTAAATATGCATTGAATGCAATAAAATATTTCCACACGAAAGGAATGTTTTTTAATTACAAGATGCACAATAGAAACTTCAAAACTGCTGTATCATTATTTAATCATAAAAAAATATTCTTGCACCTTTTGAACAATAAATCAAATTCAAGAGAAAAAAAAAGGATAAATAAAATTTCAAGACAAGTATTTAAAGTGAAGAATCATGTATAATAAATAATGAAAATTGATTCAAAACAAATGAATCAATTAAAAGCTCAATTTATCTCTTACTTTCTTATTTAACATAAATATGCACTTAGTTAACATAATATTTATTTAGAAAAGGAATATTTTTTATAATAAAAAAGATTGTTTCTAAAAATAAATGTTAAAGTAATTTTTTGATGTAAAGTGGTGAAGAAGTGAGGAATGATATAAGAAGAAAGAGTTGAAGAAAATTCCAGACATGGTTTGCCAATTGATTTGAATCTTGGTTGAGGTACGACGATATCGCTCATGAGATAGGCTAATGTGCGCATGGACCTGGTGAGAGTCGGCGAAGCTTGGAGAGAACATGGACAACGAGGACATATACGACGAGAACAGCGAGCGAATGAGAAGCAGGTACAAGATCGCGACTATAGGGCTTCGTGGTGGCTATAATACTACACTACAAGTCGACCGAAAGGGCAATCGAGAAGCAAAGAAGGGAGGCTCGTTAGTCGCCACCGTGCGCATAATTGAATCGACTCCGAGCGACACGACCTCATTAACACCTTACCTCGAGCAAGCTACAGGTTGTCTCACGTTTCCAATCCCTCGTTTCAAGACTACGTTACCACACCCGTTCATCACTTTCTCGCTCTTTCATGTTCTTTAATATATTCTAATAGATGTACTCTATTTATGCAATGAGACTTCATCAATTTTGATGGCTGCATTATTTATGCTGCTGAAAAAAACATGAAAGAAATATAGAAGAGATCTATTTAAATGTACAATTAATGCTAATTTATCATTAAATCAGCTGTATTTTTATGAAAAATGTTTATTATTATTATTCAAATGTTATGATGTTGAAGTGATAGAAATTGATGATGATGGTAGACATTTTATGTCATAAACGGTTTGATAAATTTTAACAAGTTTGCTGCTGATTGATAGAGTGTATACAGATGCGTTCAGACATAAATAAGTTTGAAGAAGCTGCTCTAAGGTCTTTTGAAGTTTCAAATATTTTCTAAATCTTCTCTAGACTCACTTTAATTTCTTTTCAAGACTTTAACATCAATTTCTCTGTCATGTAACATTCTTTTTTTTTGTAGTTTATTATTCCAAAAAAAAAAAAATTGCAATCAACTCATGCATTAGATCATTTTTCAAAAAGAGTTATTTTAGTTCTTAATAAGCCATGACAGCAGTTTAAAAACCATTTGTTTATAAGATGAAAAATAAATGGATAAGTATAAGGTTCACAGAGAAAAATGTATGTGTGATAAATCTGGAGACTTGTTGAGAAGACGTGTACAGCCTTCGTAGCATGTGCTGAAGTATCACGACCTCGCAGTGCCGATCGGATTGGCCGATTGCACCAATTTACATGTCTTAATCCCCATGTAGACTTGCCTGTAGCTTGCTTGGCTACTTACTGGTCTTGGAGTCCTCGCATCGTGGCATCGTTCTCGCATATTCATGAAACAAACCCAACCAAGATGAGGAGAAGAAGAAGAGTTGGATTCACTACATCGATAATTCTTGCGCCTACAAGATAAACTGGTAACACACGAGGTCATCCAGGGACATTTTTAATTGCTCCAATAGGAGAAAGAGAACAATCAAGTTACCCACCATCAAACAATCTCTAACACTGAAATTCAGCAATTGAGATACGAGACTAGTGTGAGAAACATAATATAGCTGAGAAGCTTAACCACATCACCAAGTGACTGGAAATACTTAAAGTTGTGTATCACGTTGCCATCGAATTTACTCGGACCACCAATGAGTTTCATCCACAACCACATCTGGAAGGCTGTCATGCCTTTCCAGACTTGATGTACCAAAGACTTAAGAAAGTGGTTTGCGTATTACATTGTTCGGTTGCGGTTGTAAGCAAATCATCGCTAAAATGTTCTAACCGCAGACGAGGCTTTCAATTTTTTCTCAGCTAAATATATGAAGACTTTAAAGTTTTTTCCATTCTACCCTCTAATTGAGAGGATATAAAAGTAATTAAAGCCATCAATTAACTTGGCTTCAAAAAATATTTCAAATTGAAGTAACATTCTTTATTTTCAAAGTAAATACTTACCTTCAATAGGTCTTGATTATCACTTAGAATTTATCAGATAAAGTTTACTTAATTAATTAATTGATGTAAAGAATAACGAAAACATTCATTGTCAGTATGTTTTTTCGTTTACATTTCATTTTTAAAAATCCATGTATTTTATATCGTTTCTCCAGATGGAATAATCTTAAATTAATTAAAATGTTTGAATGTTAAAGAATTTTTTTACAAATTCTCAGAATTGCCAAAATCTTTTTAAAAAGAAATTGATTAAGATCACATTAATATTTATTCAACTTTTTCAACAGTTCCTCTTACAGCTGAAAATTAATTAATTATTCTACAGAATTGAAAAAAAATAATTAAGTTCTGAAAACGTGTTCTCATGAATTTTAATAATATTCAATGATAAAAACAAGTAATTACAATATTTCTTAATACCAAAGTCTCATGTCGATTGTTGTTTAAATTGGAGTAATTAATTAAGGTATAATTGATAATTAAATTAATTATTGTTTACATTAATTATAGCATCTTCAAGATTAGGAAGTCCACGTGCTTCAGCCATAAGAGCAAGTCGCAAACGAGCATTAAGCAGTTCTCCGTACTCAGATCGCTTTGACATCGACAGCATGATTCGCTTCAGTCCTAACAGTCTCGCGTCAATCGTCAATGGTTCGAGGAGTAGCAGTGCCAGTGGTAGTTACGGTCACCTCTCAGCTGGTGAGTACTGATGGTTATTCTCCTTTTCCGTTCACCCGTAATCACCGTTAATTACTTGCTTCCTGCTGTTTCAACCTTTCAGAAAAAAATGGATCCTACTAACTTACGTGATTCTTTATTAATCATTAATCAATGAATAAATAAAAAATAAAACATGGACTAATGATATTTCAAACTTGATCATACACTGTTATAAAATTATTCAATTATTTATTACTACTGATTTATATGGGCAAATATCGACTGCTTGCTGTTTTATGATTTACTTACAGTAATTGCTGATGGTTTTATATCCTCTTTCAAATCGTTTATCTTCAGAAAAATATCATCAAAGCAGTTTAAAAATTTTTTTCATGAATAATTAAGCAGTTAGTCACTTTTTTTTAAAAATTTATTTCAATGGATTTTTTTATGGTATTACTCATTTATTTAAAGCTTTTATAAGAAGCAGACATTTGAAGAATTTATTTTCCATAAAATGGAAATTCTACTTGTCTTATTTGTAAATAAATAATTTATTAATTACCCAGAAGCGATAAATAGCTGCTTGCTGATAAGTAAATAGTGAATTTTTCTTATTTTTTTACTTGGATCAGACATACATATCTCTAACAAGTCTTACAGCTTTTGCTACTGTGAATCATCAGTGAATGCATCCCCTCGATCATAAAATGAAAACCGGCTGATGATGCCTGTCTGCCACATCGTTTTCTATTTTTGTTCTTTATCATCACTGTGTAATTTATATTCTCGATGCTAATAATAATCCTAAATTATTACGGTATGGTATTTCAAACTCTTTACGATTAGTTTGAATGAAAAGGTTTTAGAAACGACCAGATCACCTTTTGACAACTTCCTGTTTCCTAAAAGACTCGTCAAACAGTTTGGTCGTTATTCTTTGTCAGGTCGTCTACCTTCTGCAATTCTCTTTCATTCTATTTTTATGTTTTCACATAAATCTCACTTCCGAAGTATATTATACTTCCTTCTTTTTATCATGTTTCTTTTTGGAGTAATTAAACTATTACCAAATTTCGAGTTTTGATCTCTAGATTTATGATTCTTTCAACTCCAAACTCCTAGATCAGATTTCAGTAGCTCCAATTTCATGTCCATGATAATTTTTCTATTTTTGATTATTGTTATTAATTTAAAAAATTGTTTACATTATTAATTAACAACATTCCAAGTTGAAATTAATTAACTATTTATCCATTCATTTATCTGAATGTCGTCTGTCCAAAAATCCTACCAAGAATTGCAGATGTATGATAGTAAGAGAGTCTATATATGAGAGTCTAGCCTACCAATTACCAACACAAGTCACGTAACATATGCAGAAGATAGCTATACAAGTATTGGATAATCTAGTCATAATATTCAAACAAGTTTGTAGGTGAATCAACAGTATCAGACTACAATTTCGTTGATATTTTGATTGATTGTTAAACATAAATTGATTTGATAAAAAATTTCATGAGTGAGATTAATTACCTAAGATATAATTCCAAGTATCGAAGATGATGAATAAACTCTCTCTAAATAACACTAAGTGCTAATAATTCAGCAATAACTGTAATGTCTATTAGCACTAATAATAATTCACTTTCACAGCTAGACATGCATTTATTTGTCGTCTGCTCGTCTATGATAAATTATAAATTACAAAACCGTGATAAATATTCCAATGAGTGGTATGAATCCATTAAAATGCAGACTTGAAGTGAGACCAGGAAGTTTGCTTTTATGCATCAGAAATTTTTTGATCACTCGATTACAGTCTTCCGGATGATAATAATAATTATTTAATTTCATTGAATTTTATTATCAGACTTTCAATGGAGTAATTGATAACTCATTAATAAAGACATTATTCATAATGGTTATTATGCTAATGAGATGTGCTCAATTGATTCCAATTAATAATAATTAAATTGTTATTTTCTAGCAATGAGTCCAGCTCTCAGTATGCATCCAGGAATGGCACCACATCTTCAACAGCTTCAAGCACATCTCTTGCGTAGTGCAGCAGCTGCAGCTCTCTTGCCTCATCCTCTACAACCTCCAGGACCACCACCACACCCACATGGTCATCCTCATTCTCACAGTCTATCACCACATACTCAACTATTCGTACCACCTCATTCTACTTCTGCCACTGCTCTGGGACCACACAGTGGTGGAATACCTTCGAAAACTGAGGTAAATATTCATGACAAAAATAAGTAATGTAATTACGAGCATCCAAATTACCTAGTGTATCATTTGGAGATGTAGTATTGAAGATTGATTTAACAAATTGGTCATTTTTCAAACTTTTCAAGGCATGAAATTAAAGAGTAACGGTTGAAAAAAATAAGTATGATGATATATATCATGGCATGTTTCTTTTGAGAGATTCTGTCAAGTTATTTTAACGTAATAAAGTTGATTGCTTGATATTGAAGCGATCACCAGGTTGATTGTTAACTACAGCAAACAAATCGTCGCTTTGTTATATAGCAAGCACTTTGTGAGCTGAAATCTTTAAAGAAAGGGGATCAAGTTACTTTACGGTCGTCGGATTACGAAGCAATCTCATGTACATTACTTGTTATCCCTCCAATCCTTTTGCTCTTGTCTCGTCTTTTTTTTACTTCCAAACTGTTGATTTATCCGCATCCGTCGCCGCTGGGTGTATTTTCATTAAATCCACTCTACGTCGTCTTGATTGTTGCTTACGATTCCGTCTGTGTGAGCTTGTTTTTGGTCCAAGCACTTTGGTCTGATCGTAATGGCAATGTAAGACAAAAAAGGTGAAAAAAAAAAATGAATAAGATGGACAGGGAGAACGTGCATGGCTGCACTCACGCATAGTCTTGCGGACGTTATGTCTATATCGGGTAACGACAAGTGCTTGTTTTCCGCACTCGTTCACCACTTTATGGCGACTGCTTGACGATCGATTAAAGCGTTCCGGCCTTCAAGTTCGCGCGTGGCTACGTGATAATTGCGGAATCGCGTGTTAGCTAAAGTTACGTTGTGATGAACAAGTTAACTCAAATGATGACAGTATATTATTTGATTAAATTTCAACTAACAGCTTGATTCATTTTGCTTCAGGGCACCGAGTCATGCAGAAAAGCATCCGATACATCAAGTAGATCAATAGCAGCTGAAGCTGATACTTCATCAAGAAGACAATCTACTAAAGTTAAAAGGGAACCTGCTACCACAACAACCACAACACCAACTACTGCTCCACTTACTCATCCTCAAGGTCTTAGTCCCAGTGAAGATCTTAGAGATGAACCTGGAGATTTCATCGAAACCAATTGCCACTGGCGAGACTGTGGTCTCGAGTTTCCCACTCAAGATGATCTTGTTAAGCATATTAACAATGACCATATTCATGCGAATAAAAAGAGCTTTGTGTGTGGATGGGAAGATTGCTCGAGAGAGGAAAAACCATTCAAAGCCCAGTACATGCTTGTAGTTCACATGAGAAGACATACAGGTGAAAAGCCTCACAAGTGTACGGTAAGTTTTTATCAACAAGCATTTTTTATTAATGAGAACACTCGACATTTTATTCAATAACTCACTGTCTTACTTTTTCTGCAGTTTGAAGGGTGTTTTAAAGCATACTCAAGGTTGGAGAACTTGAAAACACATTTGAGATCTCATACCGGCGAAAAACCATATACTTGTGAATATCCGGGATGCAGTAAAGCTTTCAGCAATGCTAGTGATCGTGCTAAACACCAAAACAGAACTCATTCTAATGAGGTACGTATTACTTACATAATGTTATTGAAGAGAATTATCTTCTCTTCATTTGTATAATAATTGAATAATTTTTTTTTTTTAGAAACCTTATGTCTGTAAGGCTCCAGGATGTACGAAGAGGTATACAGATCCATCATCATTGAGAAAACATGTAAAAACAGTACATGGTGCTGAATTTTATGCGAATAAGAAGCACAAAGGTGGTGGTGATGGAGGAGGAAGTGATGAAGCTGGTGCAGGTGGAAACAGTCCAAGTAGGAGTGAAGATCTGCATCCAAAGACTCCAAGTCTGTCTAGCCCGAGTGTCAAGTCTGAAAGTGAAGCTAATAGCCCTCCAGGAATGATTCAGCAACAAGGAAGTCCACTTGTCGGTGGATGTACTGATGAAATTACTGGCGGTGGTATGGCTATAGATGGGGTCGTACTTGATGAACCTTGGAGTGAAGAACCTGATGATCTTGATATCGCAGACCTACCAGTTGCTCTTCGTGCAATGGTAGGAGGATTAGAGACGCAACAAGCACCGCCTCCTTCAAGAAATCGAATGAAGGGTCGATTGAATGCGAAAGCTATGCCAACCCTCAACCCTGGTGGAGGAATTCGAGGGACGAGAATACAAGGAATGCAGGGTAATATTGGAGATCTCAACAGGAGGATTACTGATCTCAAGATGGAAGGAGGTACCCCAAGACAGACAAGTCTGTCAGATCTTCAGTTAAGGCTACAGCCTCTGAGTGAACCTAGAAGGGATAGTAATAGTACTGTGAGTACTTATTATGGTAGCATGAGATCCACAGACTTTGGCAGCAGGAGGAGCAGTCAAGCAAGTGCTATAAGTGCTGTAAGAATAGGTCCAGCCGGTCCCGGAAGCTTTTATGATCCAATTAGTCCGGGAACATCGAGGAGAAGTAGCCAAATGAGCACCACTTCCGGTAGAGTTAATGCCACTGGTCCTCTACCAACGCCATATAATACTAACAACCTTGTTGTGCAAACGCAGAACATGTCTCTACAGGTAGTTATTAACTTAATGGCTTATTAAATTTTTTTTTATAATCATTTAAAAACGTTTATTTGACTGAAACTTTTTTCTTATAGGGAACGCAAGGCATGCCCAATGAATGGACGTCCAACCATTGTCTCCCTCAACCTTCTGGAGATCGAAGAATGTCTGAACCCACCCGTGGATATCAAGCTCAAAGAACTTCGCCTCCGGTACCACCAAGACCAAGATCCGCTCAACTACCTGAACTCCATCCAAATCAAGAAGTTGTTTTAGATGAAGTCGGAGAGGGTGAAATGGTGGAGAATAAATTGGTCATTCCCGATGAAATGATGCAGTACCTGAATGAAGTCCAAGCCGGTAGTAATCAAATGAGCTATCGTAGTAGCCCCCTACCTATTTGTCAATCACCAATTTGTACAAATCATCTCCATTATCAACGTCAGCAGCAAACTTGTAATTATAACAATCAACATAATCAGCCTCAATCTTGCTATCCCCAACAAGTGCAGCCACAAGTACAGACACAACCACAACAAAACCTTCAATCTAATTGCCACAATTATCAAGCTCCATCACCAGCTTATTCTCATTGTCCAAGTTCACGTATGAGTCAAACATCCAATTATTGTCCACCTCAAAATTATGGTCAAGTTCAATCATGCAATTCACAAATGCAACCAAGTCCAGTCAGTCAAGTGATGTCACCAGGATCACACTATGCTCCAAGTCAAATCAGTGATCAACCAATGACGTCACCAGCAGCAGGTTCACTTCCACCTCAACATGGATTGCCGCAAAATCTTCAACAAAACTCAGCACAAATGACACGAAACTGTAACCAACAAAATCATCAAATGTATTACCCAACCTACGGTTGTACGGGTCAAATTAACACTAATTGTGGAGCTCAACAAACTCATTCCAATGCTCCGAACTGTTTTCCGGCAGCACATGTCACTGGGCCCGTTCAGTCTTGTAATCAAATGAGAAATTGTCCACAAATGTCACCTCATTGTACACAAATGGGCAATCCTGGTACGAGAATGAACATGCATAATAATCAATGTGGACAATCAGGACAAAATCAATGTCAAAGAATTAATCACATGCCAAGTGATCAATTGACAATGAGGAATGTAATGCCAGGAAATGATCAAATTACTGGTAATGTTGGTGCAAACGGTCCAGCTATTGGACAGTGTCCTTCGACAATGCAACATTGTGCTTCTGGCGCAGTTAAGCCTCTTACAAATATGCAAGCTAATCCAGCTCAACCAGCACCAGCGGCTAATATGCAATGTCCGCAGATGGGAACAAACTGTGTTCATCCTGGTCTTCATTCTCCAAGACATGGTCATACAACTCAAGTTAATAACATGGCAAAAGGAGCAACTTCTTTGTGCTCTCGGCAAAATAATTGTCGAGTTCAGGCATGCGGATGTGAATCTCAAGGAACTCAAAACCAGTATGGCTGTAATTGTCAATGGAATTATGCAAACGAGTGCTACAATAATCATTCGATGGGTGAAATTCAGTGTAGAGACATTAGCCAATCTCAGCAAGGATCACCTGTAAAGCCGCCGCAAGGAATGCGTCAAGATTCATACAGAAGAACATTAGAATATGTGCAACAGTGTAGAAATTGGTCTGGAAATGCTCAAATGCATGAAACGAATGTTTCTAGTTCAACACATCCACTATCATTGCCTCAACCACTTCCAGCAAGTTCTAACATGGTAGTTAACGACATGACGTCTTCATTGAGTTCCTTGCTGGAAGAAAATAGATATTTACAAATGATTCAATAAATTTCTTTGCATAATTATGGGAAATTATCCTTTAGAATTGGAATTTAAAGTGTAAAAAATGTTAGAAATTTATTTAATTGACTACCTCGCGGTGGCATGTGCCTTTTACGCAACCCAGTGCCTTGGTAACTTAATTTATTTTAATAAATTGTAATTTGATTAATAGCTCTATTTGATAGCAAGAAATTTTTGAAATTAAAAAAAAAAAAAAAAATCCAACAAATGAAGAGAATTAAGTAAAAATACTCATATAGATAAGATGAAAAATTTTTGATAAAAATATTTAAATTGTTTAAATAAATAAAATAATGATGTTAGCATTTATATGATGATGACTGGCAAATTTTAATGACAGTTATGTAAATTTTGAGCTCAGTGAAGAGTGTACGATGTACGCTGTGATACACAAAAAAATACAAATTATTATTATCTATTTTTTTTAAGGTTTTATAAACTTTTTAAGGATAAAATTAAGTACTAAAATTAATAGTATTAAGAATAACTGCATATATGACAAGAAGAAGGCCAATATTATTTTTTAAGATGTGTAGATAATTGTGTAGAAGATTTTTTTTTTTTTTCTCAACCTAAAAGAAGATAATGAGAAAATGACTGTCATTGTATGTAAGAATTATAGAACAACATACTCAACAATATAATATTTAAATACAAGAGACAATAGTTTCTTTTGAACATTATCGGTTTGACCGTATTTCAATATCTTAAGCATTTAAAAGTCCTTGAAATATGTTTGGAGAGTTAGAGACTTAGAAGTACCTAGCTACTTTTTTTGTTACACAATCATTTTTGTATGAATTTTATTATACAATGTAGAAAACTAGAACATTTTTTGTGAATATTTATACATATCTCATACATGAATTCTTGCATGAATGAAGTAACAAATGTCTTTTCAATAAATATAACATTAAATCTTTAAAAAAGTTGTTAATTATTTGCAAATAAATTGTAAACGTTTGAATAATCTGTCTGAATCTAAAAATATTTATTTCTCTATTTCCTTTCATTACTTTCTTTTATTTAAAAAAAAAAAAAACCCCTATACTTTTGTTGTTTGACATTATTTTTTATTTCAATAAAATATTTTTACAATTATGATCTTTTATGAAAAACACTCAGTATAAATCACACATTTAATTGTTTATCATATTCTTCACAGACATCATTTCATTTACAATTTTTTTTCTGAATCTTTTTGCGATGTTTCTCCTTCCTAAAATGGTATAAATGTTTTAATTTATTTCTAGAATATAATAATTCTATTTAGCAAGGATATTTTAATTTTAAAATACATACCTGAATTGTATTTAAATCTGTAGGCAGTCTTACAGAGGGTAAAACATCAGGTAAAGGTGGTGGAGCTGGAGGTTCTCCATAAACTTCATGAAGTTCTTCCAACCTTGTACTAAGTGCAGATCCACGTTGACTTGTTGCATTCATTTTTTTCATTAACCAATCTGCCTGCTCTTCAAGACGTTTCAATCGTGCTGCTCGTGCAGCAAGAACTTCTTCTGGACTTCTGCTTGGTTTTGATGAATTAGATGTTGATGTTGACGGCAATTCACTGGCTTTTTCCGTTCGTGCTTCTTCTTTATTCTCTTTTAATACTGTGTTAATATCAGTCATTGCTTCAGTAGAACTTTTGGTATTTTCTATCTCATTTGATTTTGTTTCTTCGTTCACTACAATGGTAGGGATTCTTATATTAGCCGTTTCTTCGCTCTTTTCTGCATGATTATCTGACTCATTATTTAACGTAGTCGTTGAAGGTATAGTAGGGAAAGGACCAATTGAAAAAACGGAAACGGTATTATTAGCTCCTAACGGTTCTATTTTAAATAAATTATTTTCTCCTTGAGAATTATCTAACGGTTCTTCAACATCCGAATTTAAAGATGTTCTTTCATTTCGATTGCCATTCGTACCATCAGCATCAATTAAATTTTGTATTACATTTGCTAATGCTCGATCTAATGGATCAAAGTCTTCAACTCTTTGCTCAGGAATATCTTCTTCTATGACAATTAATTGAGCATTATGAGTTATATCTGGAGTGGAAGTTCTTTGTTCAGATGATGATGCGTCCGAAGTAGTTGATACTGCTTTTGATTCTGATGATTCATTGTCTGTTGGATGGTCGGACTCAGTATCTGGTGTAGGTGTCCTTGGACTTTCCTGTAAAAATTATTTTAATAAGATTTATTACCAGCATGATCATCCAATTATTCATCTTCATGATAGATATTTAATAAAAGAAGATATTTATTTTTTAAACAACTCTTATAGATCCTTATCAAAATATTTACTTTTCTGGTCCTTCGACGTGGGCCAATTCTAAGTCTTTCTTCATTAGGAATATCATCTTCATCCGTGTCATCACCTCTCTCATCACTGAATCCACTTTCAGCACTGTAACATTGTACACAATTTACCCAATCGAAGACAAACAAATGAAATGAACTATATGATAAATATTATTATTGATTAATAATTAAAAAGATAAGAAACTTGCCTGTTATTGAAAGAATCATCAACCGCTAACATTTTTCTAGCAGCAAACTCTCTTCTTAAATTTCTCCATTCCATTTCCGTATTAGTATTCTTTTGTCTTGCAGATTCCCACTTTTCTCTACAATATTCTAGCTCTTGTTTCAATTCTTGTAGCATAATACGTTTCTGTTGAAGCTCATACCTCAATATTTTCTCATGTGTATGAAGCTGTTGATGCTGAGCTTGCATTCTTCCAACAATACTCCAAGTTTTACTTAATTCATCTGATATAGTTGACAATCGTTTTTCCTGCTCACCTAATTTACTTTCCAAATGTGAATTTAATTGCTTTAATCTGCCCATTTCCTTCTCAAGATGTTTCTTCTCAAGAATTAATTCCTTTAAACGTATATAAGTCTTACTAACAGATATTACAAGTCTAGGTCCAGCTGGAGTATCAACTGATTTATAACAGACATTAGGATCAGTGGATAATAAATTCGAAGAGGTTGATGTTGATCCTTGCGCCGCATGACAACTTAATAATTCAAGCAAAACCCTCCAGACTTTAGGTAGATTATTAGCAATATTTTCTTCCTGTTGATCTTCTTCTTTCTTCTCAGAATCTCCATCAGATTTAGTTTTCTCGCGACCTTCTACTTGTTCCACAAGATCTAAAAGTAGTTTTGGTAATGCTGCTGCTTCTGTTCCTTCTTCGCGGGCCATTTCACTTATTAAGTCGTGATTTTCCTAGAAAATATAACAATTTATTCATCACATGAGTTATCATTTTAAGTATATATTTTCTGAAAATCTAATTCTATCAGATTAATTATGTAATAATTCCAATCAATTAAATTCAATTTAATGCTAAATACCTGTAGCAATTGAGTTAATCTATCAAGATCCATATCAGCCGAAGAAGCACTTAATAACATTTGTGAAAATAAACCATTTATCAGAGACATTTGATTTTGAAGATCACGGCAATCAGCTTTGGTTAATCCTAACTGTGACTCAAGGTTTGCTATTTCCGTTTGTTGTAGATCAATCTGCCAAAAATTTAATAATAATAAAATGAACAATAATATTAACAATAATCATCTAAAATAAAAGTTATTTTTAATATGAATTGTCATCATTATCATCATCATTTACAATATTGTATTAGAAATAATATTACTCATTTTCTATAAATATCTTACTTTTTCTTCAGCTTTAGCGTAATCCTCATCCAATATCTCCTTCTCTTTTAAAATGCTCTTTAATACGTCTTTAACATTGATTAATTCTTTATTACAGGTGTCTTTCAATTCTGCCAAAACTCTTAATCGTTCATCATAGAGATTTTTTAATTGTCTAATATCATCTAATTGACAATTATGCTCAGTTCTAAGATCTTCAACAACATCCATATGAAATTGATCATCACCTAATCGAGCTACAGACGTAGATAAAATATTTTTCAGACTATTAATTTGTTGTTCACGAGTCCTGAATACTTCTCGATTAGTATTTGCTATTTCTTTTAATTTCTCAATACGACTTGCGTTTGTTTCAGGATCGCATTCTAAATGATATCGGAGATCATCAATTTTTTCTATTTGTACTCTAATGCAAGCTCGTAGCTCATCCGAAACCTAAAAACGTTCATTCAAAGTATTTATTTATTCTTAAACCAATAAATTTACAACCATATTATATCCATTTATTACCTTCAGCACATCTGTAAGTCTTTGTACATCAAGATGAACAGGATTTTGTTCTTGCCATTCACTTTGAATCCGCCAATTGTCGCTATTACTTGTGGTTGTTCCAACAGAGAATGTTTCACTTTTTCTTGATGCATTCTCAGCCTGGGATTTTAATAAATCTAGAACTCGTGATGTTTCTGAATGAGCCTCCTTCTCAGCATCTAATTCCCTTCTCAGTCTATCCATTTCCGAAGATACTGCAGCTATTGCTCGTTGTCTTGCTTCTCTTTTCATGCTAAGATCCTTCTTAAATTCTTCCAAGCCTGGACGATCAAGTGCTCCATCAACATCAGTTGATGCTATCAATAAGAAAAAAATGATTAAGAAATAACTCAACAATCTATTATTACTAGTTTATTGTAAAAAATTACCATTACTTGAAACTCTTTCATCACATTTCCTTTCTTTCTTAATTCCCTCAATAATTTCATTCAGTCTTTGTATCTCTCGCAAGGATTCTTCAAAAGCCTCATTTTGTTTGTTTTTATTCTTTATTTCTTCTTGAAGTCTACTTCGTAGTTTCCAACTTTCTTCACCAGCTAATGTAATAGTTTCATTTCTTGCCAACTCAGCTTTCTGTAAATCTCGTTCTAAATCTTTAATCCTTGCTGTTGTAGTGTCTTTTTCCTCATGGAATGCATCCAATTCCTTTGTTACTTTTAAAGTCTCGGACTTTGCTATGTCAAAGTCTTTTTTTAATTGCTCCAATTCTTCTTCTCTTGCACTTAAATGTGATTCAACTATTTCACAATGATTTTTTGATACCTGATACAAATACGGTATTGTAAATACATTAAGTTAAAGAAAGTTATCTAAATATAAACTACTTCTGTAAAGAATAGAATAAATAAAAATAAAAAGTTAAAAACATACCTCATAATCCCTCCTCAATCTTTCCATTAATTTTTTCTGTTTTTCCAATTCACCCGCAAGCTTCTTGTTGACCTCCTGGGTCTCCAGCTGATCAGTTTTCAGTCGTGATATTTCTTTAAGTAAATCCAATACTCTATTTTTATCTTGAGAAGTTTCAGGTTCATTGAATCCTACATCACTTTTCCCAGGAGGTTCTAACTCATTCTCCAATATCTGTATCCTCTCAAGTACTTTTTGATATTCTTGTTTTCTATTTTCTAAATCTTTTTTTTCATCTAAATGTTTTCCTCGTTTTTGTGAGAAACTTTTATGAATTTTCTCTTCAGGAGATCGATTCTTTGCCTTTGTTGAATTATGCAACTCTCCTTGGATTATACTTTCTATTGCTTCAATACGTCTAATTAAATCATTATCACCTTCACTTTGGTTACTTATATCCGCTAATGATGCTTTCTTATCTCTTTCTCTGTTTAATTCCATGTACAGCCTTTCCAACTGTGCTAAGAGCGCATTATGTGCAGATGCAAGCTGGTGATTTGCTGCCGCTAAATGAGATACGGTTCTTGTGAGCTCCATAGCTTCTTGATGAACTGATGGTGCACTTGGAGTATATTCTGATTGCCAGCCAGTCATTTGTGCAGCGTAAGTTAACTATAAAAAAATTTCAAAAATTCTTTTATAAAAAAAAACTGGTTAAAAAATAATTAATATTCAACTTTTGTATAATGTCTTTTAGTAGATAAAATTCAGAACGAATAAATTCGATTATTTATTTTATTATCACGTCTGGTTCACTTGGCAGTCAACTAAAGACTAAAAGGCCTCGGGAAACCAGAATCCCGAGGACAATGAGCCAACAAAACACGTGATAGTGTGATCGACTATCGTGGAAACAAATCTTTGTAGGTCTGACTCAGCAACGCACAAAAATTCACCACAGAATGTTTGGGAATGCGCCAGCAATGATCGTCGTATTATTTGATCTCTTGCTTCAGCCATGAGATTGCAATGCTGACCCTGATGTAAAGGCAATGGCCTCATCTCTTGGAATTTTTCACAGCATCTAAAGTAGTTGGAAAATTCACTGGAATATGTCATCCGAGACTTACCAGAGTTTCTTGAGGTTGACGAAGATTTGATAAACTGGGGACAGATGGTCTTTGCTGCCAATATTCTTCGTTCCTTAAACTTGCACGTATTCTAGGTTCCTGGAGATCATCAATAAATTATTAAAATTATTTTCTTTAACAAATAAAGACCTAATTTATTGACTTACATCTGCTGGAGCAGCTTGTGAAGATTTTTCAATAGAAGATACTCGAGGTGTTCCAGATAAATATCCTCCAGTGTAAAAGGGTGGAGGTAAAGGTGGTGGTTCATAATTCTTCGCACTATTTTGTAAACTACTTCCTACTCCCATTGTTTACTTAAATCGTTATAATGAATCGTTCGTATCTTGTCGTCGTTATTCTGAAAAACAATAAACTAAAATTAATTCCTTTGTTCTGGAGAAATGTCAAGACGTAAAAAAAGCTTTCAAGAGGAAGAAATAAAATTCTCTTTACAGGATGGAAGATCTTTTACCGGTATATATTTACTTCTAAATATTCTCTATCTATTTTTGGCGATTGAAAAGTATAATCCAATGACGACTTGAACTGATCTACTTGCCCAGTTGTTTTTCACTTTGATTGGCAACAGTATTGTTTTTTGTCAAATTAAATTAAGTCAACTTTTAATTAAGTATACAACTATTGTTTAATTTATGATATTAAAATATTAATTTTTTAAAGCAAATTAATGAATTCTTATGAAAAAAGTCAATAAAAATGAGTGCAAAAAAACACAGAAAAAAAATGAAAAGCTTTTAGTTGCTAAAAGATTGTTCTCGAGTGTCCGACACGTGCAAGAGGCCATGGGAAATGGCTAAAAATAAACGAATCGTATATTCCAAATGTGATAAATATAGCCAAGAATATGAAAACAAAGGAAGATGTATTTATGTTGTAATACGGCTGTTTCTTCCGGTGAAAGATTTTGGTAATTTTCTGAATAAATAGAAATGTTATTCTGCTGTAAAAAATGGGAAAAAACAGATGACAATTACAAAAATAACTGACAATGACAAAAACTGACAATAATTCACTAATAAGAAAAGTTTTTTATATGTAAATACGTTGAATTCTTGATAAATTAATAAATAAATTTGTTTTACGTAAGCAAATTTAAAGTAGAAATAACACTAAATTCACTGAAAATACTCACTATTGATATTCACATTTAAATATATCCAACAAAATTTTGAAAGCGTCAGAGCTTCGAGCTTCGTCTGTTGCTTAGTCTGAACGTGATCTCGAAGTACGTAGACACCTTGCTGGCTGTTAGCCAGTTCACTTCCAGTTTCTAGGCATAGCTAAAAATACCCTGAGGAAGAGAGTCTTTCACGAAAGGGGATGGAGTCCAAAGTCTTATTACTGTACCCTCCTTCTTCTCAATTTTCATCTTGGACACATTTGAGTATCGAAGCAATTCGTATTGATTACCTGGAAAGTAGACCATTTGTTATTCTTACTTGCACTAACTTACGGTGGCAGATTTTATTTTTAGCTGAAAGTTTTTGTCAACAAATCTAGAACGATTAGGTTAACCTGTTCGTATTTTTAAATGGTCCAAATAAATGCGTATTTACCGCCGAGGTTTAAATAAATATGCGCCATCTTTTGAAGATTGTTCTAAATATTTATCACACCTGTAAGTAACTTACCATTGAAGGTAATGTTTTTAGAAACATACTACAACGCCATCTCTATGTTTTGAGATTTTATCCTTTATTATTTGAGATCTTTATGAATTGTTATAGATACAAACACCTAATAAGGTTAAAATTGTTTATAATTTTAAATATTTATTCTTTTAAAATAAAAGTATTTGACAATGAATCGTGAGCTACATAGATATTTATTTTGGTTTGCTCATGAGCATATTGATTTCCGATTAGCGGTAAGGATAAAACTTCTGTCATGCTTTTTATGACGACAATTTTAGTATCGAACAATTGATTTATTAATCATTATTTTTATAGGAAATCGAGTCAATTTTAAGTTTATTTAAAATATCGCCGTCCAAATTGAAAACAATACAAAGGCCTGTAGAACATGTAAGAGTGTAATCAACTATTTTTTATTAAAATAATACAACTTTTATATTATTTTTATAGCCATACTGGATTGTAGAATGCCATTCAGAATCGATTGTTCAAAAAATTGCCAGTCGATGTGTGTCAATGAAATTTTGCATGGAACTTTGGGCTGAGGCAAAAAATTTTGGAGAATTTCATACGTGCTTTGAAACAGTATCCAAGAGAAAGATCTAATGTTTATGGGAGTAAAGACCAGTCATTTAAAATTATTGTTGAAACTTTTTGCAAACACATTACTCAGACAGAAAAAGTCAATAAAATAGAGGTAAGATTAAAAAGAAATTATCATAACTATAAAATTATCAAAAAATTTGATGAAGAATTTTATTGACAGTCTCTGAGTTATTTACCACTTGAAGGACCAGTAAATTTAAAAACTCCTGATAATATTTTTTATTATATCGAATATTATGGCATTGAACCGAATAATTCTCCAGAAAAGCCAGAAGGATTATTTTTCGGTAGATGGGTAAATAGAAACATTAAATTTTTTATAATAAAATAATTTTATTCAACAAACATCTTTAAAACCATTAGATTTGCAATGGACAACGAGATTTAATTCAAAAATTATCTCTGAAAACACGTAAATTTATTGGCACAACTTCCATGGATCCTCAATTGTCATTGCTGATGGCTAATCAAGCTAAAGTTACAAATGGAGACATCATTTTTGATCCTTTTGTCGGTACAGGATCGTTATTAGTCGCTGCTGCTCAATTCGGTGGTTATATTTTAGGAGCTGACATTGATTTTATGATGCTGCATGCTCGAACAAGACCGACACGAATAACACAAAAGGTGAACATATAGATTATTCATGACGGTTCTATTTTAAGAAATAGTTTTATCATAAATTTATTTTATATGGGAAAAAATAATATTTTTGCATTGTTAGTAATTTATAAATATTAGACAATTTTGAATTGCATGAGAACATATTTATTCTTTTCTACAACTTCGATACTAGTTAGTGAAGTTACAAAATAAAAATAGGTCACCAGACAACACCTGCTCTTTATGTGCTTTTCACACAATACGAATCTTGAATATTCAAGAGCAATAAATACAATGGAGAAAAAATAATTACATATTATATTAACAAATTTTTCACTTTTGGTAAACCATGTATTCAACATCTGTTTTATTTCTAAATTCAGACGAGAAGTCGAGACGAAAGTGTAGCAGCTAATATGGAACAATATGGAAAGAGTTCTTATTATTTAGACGTCGTAGTTTCTGATTTTTCTAAAACAATATGGAAACCAGAAATGCGTGTAAATGCAATAATTACAGACCGTAAGTATAATTTTAAAATGATTTGTCTTAAAATTGTTCCGAAACATCATTAATATTTTATTTTTAGCTCCATATGGAATTAGGGAAGCTACAGAACGTGTAGGAAGCATCAAATCTAATCCAACAATTGACGAACATCATGCTGATACTCACATTCCATCTAAAATATTCTATAACTCATCCCACATGTTTAGAGATTTATTGAACTTTGCTGCTCAACATTTAGAATTAAATGGACGACTTGTTTGTTGGTTTCCTGTTTATCGGTAAGCTGTGCTTGTATTTTTTTTAATTAAAAGAAAAGATTAATATTTAATAATAAATTATAATTATTTTAGAGAACATTATTCACATAACCAATTACCAACACATCCTTGCCTGAAATTAATAGCAAATTCAGAACAAATATTAAGTATTTATGCCAGCCGTAGGCTACTAACGTATTCAAAATTGCGAGAACCTCAGGAAAATGATACTGTGAATACATTGAATATGCTCGACTTTCGAGAAATGTACTTTGCATTACGAGATGAGACTCGAAGAGAACGAAGAATGAAACAAGCAGAGGAACGTGCAAGGAATAAAGCAGAATGGGAAAATAGAAGTAGAGAAAGCACAGAGAGGTGATTAATTCATAGAATAATGTAACAATCATTTAATTGCATTTTATTTTATAACGTCTGATAATAAATTAAATTATAAATTTTTTTAAATTATAATCATCAGAACTATTGGAATATATTTTTCCTAATTCAATTCATTTAGAGAATATGACATACAATTAAAGATAAGTAGTGTATTTTTATATAAATAAGATATTGCAAAAATCGGCAGCTTATGAAATTTTAGAGTAAAAAATTTGAGGAATGTGATAAGATGAATCATAAAATTGTTTAGAAAAAACAATTGATTAAATTATTTTTGTTGTAATAATATTAACATTAGATTTTTCAGCATTCCTCATCAAATTCATTTTAAGGATTATCGTGCACTATAAATGTTGCACTTACACACGATATTCAATCATATATTATACATTATTTAAACAAATATACAAATTACTAGCTAGATGAACTTTGTAAAATTGTAGGTAATTAGACTAATACGCGTACCTTAGGCTTCAAGTTGTAATTGACTTAGTAATCCTTCTAAATTTTTAATGCTACTCTCATCAGTTACTTTGGATTTGTATTGTTTGTCAATTTGACTTGCTGCATATTCACTTAATTTTATTGCTTCTTTTTTCTTGGATGGTGGACTTTTAGATGACGTTGCAATTTGATTCGCCGTCTGTATAATTTTATTATGAAAAAAATGTTCATAAATCTCAATATAATATAAAAATTCTTTACTTACCAATAGTAAACCATACAAAGCTCTGATATTATTTGGATTCAATTTAACAGCTTGGCTGAAATATGTCTTTGCAATTTCAATGTTTTCTAAGCCTCCTTGAGAATATTTTATTTCTGCATATCTCTGATGAATCAGATGATTATGTGGATTGTGGAGAATAAGTTCTTCCATACAAAATGCAGCTTTACTGTATTCTTGTTCTTTCAAATACAAATCACAAAGCTCGTGCCATGCTTCTTGATCACTCATGAACCTGTAAGGAAATTAATTATTCATAATTTGATAGCTGCTTATTGATCAATTGTGAAACTAATATCTTATTCGAATATAAATAGCGAATAATCAATTTATCAACACAGTTTCACACTTTCACATCCTATAAACTTTATGGAAGTATGATTCTGGGAATAATTAGTATATTGTAAGAGTTGATAGAAAATTGTATAGAATTATACTGACACTTTAAGATATTCAGTAAGTTCTTTTATAGCATCTGCAGCTCTGCCTCGAGCTTTCAAAATTGCTACTTTACGTTTTCTTGGTGCAGCATTAGTCTCATCTCGCCTTACAATTGAATCTAGTACATCTAAAGCCTCTTCATACCTAAAACAATATTACAGATAAGCCGATAATATCAAAGCGGAGATATTAATGAAAATTTGAATAAGAATTACATTTCTAATGCTTCCAAATGCATTGCATGGTATTTATGTACTCTCAAGCTACCAGGAAATTCTCTCATTAAAAGTTTAATGCAGTATTCTGCTAAAGGTAACCTGTAGCTATCCAATGCAGCAACACAAACTTGTTCTAGTACCAGGTATTCTAGAAAATATATAATAAATAACATACACTCAAGTAATTAAATATAATAAAAAAATATTTACTAACTTTCGTTGCCAAGTTGTTCCATTTTGTCCATCAAAACCATTTCCCATAATTCGACTATTTCTCGGCTTTTCCGTTCGGAGTTTTCTCTCCATGTCCTCAATAAGTCCCGAGCCTCTGTGAATAAATTGTGTATTTAATTAAACATTTATTTTTACCAATATAACTTAAACAAACATTAAAGAAAATAATATGAGTAATATTTTATACATACCTGTCCAGCTAAGCTGATTACGATTTTTACCCATAATAATGTGTATATTTGTATTTTATAATAAAAAAGTACAAATCAATAAAAGTGATTCGACAAAAGTTGACACGACAACTACCGCTGTGACAAGGTTATACGACAAGAGAGAACGCAAGCATGTGATGAAGATATAAGAACAATCAACATCACAAACCAAGCGCAATCAAGCAAAAAGTATCAGCCAATGATAATGCACTGAACTTACGAAAGCCGTGGTTTATCTACCAACGCTAGACGAGATATAATTAGTTAGGAAATAGGACGACAATAAGTAAATGAATTATTAAAATATTTTTAAAAATTTTTATAACGGAAATAATGATTTATATTATTAAAGTTAAATTATTCAAATGGAAAATGGGCTAAAAAATATTTTTTTACTGATTTTTTATACTTATTGGAATGTCAGAAAAAGAAAATAATAAAAAAAAAGTGGAATAATAAATTGAAAAAAGTGGCGCTAGTATCGCATGCCCCTCCTTGAATGGTAGTGATTATCTCGCGTAACTGTCGATAGGAGTGAAGTGGCGCTGGGATCGGTGTTCTTTTGTTGCTCTTATTCCCAGCTGGAGTATTTGCCTGGATTGTCGTGTTATCTGTTGTGTTTTCGGGGCCTGCAAATGAACAAAAAACATGTCGATTTTGATAAATTGTAAGTGACGTTAGTGAAGTATTGTGTGGTATTCAGTGATAAGTACATTTAAAGTGTAGAATTTAAGTTTAATTTGATTGCAGGAATGAACGTAGAGAGTGGAACGGACGGTTGGGTTGGCACGACGTGAACACAGGTATAATTTAATAAAGCCCACCAGTGGCACAGGGGAGGCTGGCGATTTAACAGGATATCGATTTGTGGCCCCCGCGAGAACGGAGCCAGTGTGTGCCCGTGTCGTGTGTGCCTGGTCTCACTCCGTTGCATTACCATTCAGCCCGTGGCAGAGTGAAGAGAAGGAGGCGGCCATGGACGTCGATATTTTTGGGGCACAGCCTGCCGTGTCGAGGCTCTATCGCTCAAGCCGTGTAAGGCCGTGCGCGAAGGCCTGATAGGGCCCGAAGACAAAAAATGCTACGCGCGCCTGAGGAATACGCTGGGAAATAAACCAGTGAAACCAGGAGAAAGAGAAATATAGTCAAGTAAAAAGAAAGAATATCACACGGCTGGTGAGAGAGACCAAACAAGGAGGAAAGAAGGAGAGTGAGAAAGACAGATACGGAAGGAAAGTGTAAGAGAGAGAGGTTGAGGAAGGACAAGCATCGACTGGTTGAACGAGACTCGTCTTCGAGGACATTTACGCCAACGACATCTCTCTCCTATTGTGTTGAGCAAGCGTGTCTCAACTCCAGGCAACGGTCATCAGATTGAGAAAGTGAGTGGAAAAAAAAAACAACAACCATGGATCTCGGTATTACAACGGATTCTGGAGGGGCAGTCGCATGCCCTGTATGTACACTTTATCTCAGGGAAGGTATTAGTCTTCAGAGGCACTTGGATACTCATCCAAAAGAACAAGTTATTGAGGCACTGATTAAAGCTAGTGGATCCGCGGGCTCGTCACTTCAGATACCTCAATCACAAGTGCCACAGGTACCACAGACTCTTCAGCCGTCACCGCCGCAGCAGGTCAATGCCCAAGGCTCTTCAGCTGCTGCAACAGCTCACATTTCTGCTCAGGCCCCGTATCCCATTGGACCTGTCTTTGAATGTCCACCCTTAAATGCCATGATGCCACCACAGTTTGCCTCTTTTAATTATCAACAATTCGTCAACAATGGAACAATGATGATTCCTCAATATGCGATGGCGCCACCTCAAGCTAATCAGATGATGCAGATGCTCTACAATCCGTACAGTATGTACCAACAGCAACAGGTACCAACTGTGCAGATGATTTCACAAGTTTCACCACTTCCAGCAGCTCGGATTCGACCTGTTGTTACTGTTGCCAGTGCTGAAGCCACTACTAGGAGTGTTATAATCCCTGCTAACAGTAATGAACCTAAACAAATAATTACTGAACTTCTTACAGCGCCAGATCCAGAGAGAATCCTTCCTGATATTGATTCTCCAGCAAGTCCTATTCAATCCACAGATACATTACAGATACGTCATGAAGAAGATGATAATTCTTCTAGACAAATGGATCATCGTGATCAGCAAACACAAAGTACATCACCAAGACGGATAGATTCTGAAATAGTAAGAAATGATACTGAATCAATGACTTGTGAACAAATAATTGAAGAAGAAGAAAAATCTGAAGTCATCACTCAAGATATAGATGAATCTGAAGTTGAAAATACTAGTGATCGTTGTAAAGAAGAACAATTTTGTCAGTCAAATTCACAAAAATTTTCACCAACATACAATCAGAATTCTAACGGAAGTAGTGATAATAAACAATCATTAGATGTTTTGAAAAATGAAAAATCTGAAAATGAAGTTACTATTTTAGAAACAACACAATCGGAAAATGCTAAAGGAACACGAGCAAATCCAATAATAATATCTACAGAAACACCTCAACCTAATGACGTAGAGCATCTAGAACATCTTCTGAAAACAATGATGGAGGCAGGTCTTGTTGGAACTACTGAGGTACCAATGGACACGGCAGATAACACTGAGACAGAAGAATGTAGACAAACGTCTACAAATTCAATCAAAGACGAAAAACATCATAACAATAAAGAAACAGAAACGGACAAAAACTATGTAGATATCAATGGTCCTGAAGCTTGCGTAGAAACGGAAAAGTGTGTAGTAGACATGAGTATTATTGACGAGTGCGAGTTTGACTATGCATATCGGTATAAACATAGTTTATCAGCGCCTGCGTCTCCAGCTGTTACCAAAAAGAATCAACGTTCTTACTTGACAAAGTCTGAGTATGGCTCAACAGATAATCTTACTTTATATCCAGGAGGTTTTGAATTAAGATCACTTCACCTTGATGTCGATGATGATGATGAAGAAGACGACGACGATGAAGAGGAGGAAGATGACGATGAGGATGAAGAAAAAGTTATGGCTGATAATTTTGATGAAGAAGATATGGAAATAGATGAAATAACCAGTCATACGCCTTTTATTAAAAAAGATGAAGATGCAGCAAATATACGGTCTCACACACCTTTATCAACATTGAGTGGTATTTCTGGTCTTCGAGCACGTACAAATATTAGTAAACCCAATTCTCCAGCATCGATACATTCATTTGGTAATGCAGATGTTGATAGTCATGATGAAGAAAGTAATGATTCTGTTAGAAGTGAGAAAAAAGAACCTATTGACTGTTCTCAAGTTGATCAAAGTATGAGATCACATCACGAAACATCTGAGGGAATAATCGATGATGATAGAAAGCCTCAAAGTAATACCAATGGAATTTACCATCAGTCAGTGATCACAGAACATGTCAGCTCATTTCCGACAATTCATTCTCAACAACAGTCTCTAGTACATGAAACGTATTCTATGTCAAATGGCAAAACAACGTCGAACAATCCTCCAGAACTTGGAGGAGAAGCAACTACTCCTACAACTAGTGTTGAATCAAAGAGTTTCCAATCGACAAATAAACCAATAAGTCATATTCCAACAGCAGAATTATTAAATATTAATGAAGATGCTCATTCGGGTCCTATAAATGTATTTGAGTTTGATGGACTTCAAATTTTAGTTCCTAGCACATTCATAAGTGAATCATCACAAAAAGCCATCAGTGCCACGAGTCAACAATCGATGGCAAGTAGCGAAGGAGGTACAGGTATTGATGAAGAAGTGAAAAGCGTCAATATGCGGGCGGATGAAACAATGCCTCCAAGGGGTGAACTGTCAGAGCAAGAAAGCAACGGCTGCACGGAACATTCTGCTTGGCAGGTGAGCAATCAACCGGTTTATAATTATTTGATAATGATAAAAATAATTAACATTTTCTTCCTTTTTCAACAGCTTTATGTTGGCCAGGAGTCTTCCCGGATGTCAACGTCCTATGATTTGATGGCCAGAGAGAGTTGGGAAGAGTCTGAAGGATCTGATAATGAAGCCGGTGTACCATTACTGGATAGTCGCTCACTTGCAACTCACTTTACTTCAAGTTTGTTTCTTGACCGAGACAGAAAAACACCGACTAAGCAGCGTACATTTAAGTGCTCGCAATGCACGGAAGTTTTTGATTGTCCAAAGGAACGACGTGTTCATCTTACGACTATACATAAAAATGCAGGTCCAAGCAATAACAGTAGTAATAGTGGAATTGCTGAGCAAGGTGAAACGAAAGATATTAAACTTCTCGATGGACGTATGAATCCATTCGAAGAAATTTTCGTTCCGGGCATTCATGTAACACAGGCCTATCAACAGCAACAGCCGTTGCTGCATCAAATGCAACCTCCTCAACAATCTGGTGATATTGGAAAAACTGAAACTGATGAAAAAGCTGATAGTTTAGCATTAACACAAGGCTTAGATGTACCTTGTGCAATGTGCTCGCAGCGTTTTAGCTCCGAGCGAAGTCTCCAAGTTCACAATAGACGTGTTCATGGAACTGAAGTTGCTCGACGTCTTCATGAAATTTCTAAGTGTCAAATATGTAATGAAGAATTCCCTTCAGTTGTCCTTTTTAATGCTCATCTGAAGATTCATCCACTGGAATGTTCACAATGTGGAAAATATTTCTATCGTAAGCAAAACTTTAAACTACATATGAAACGACATCTTGGCATCAAACCATTTCCATGTACCGTTTGTGACAAAGCATTTCTTACTAAACAAAAGTTAGATGAACATATGAATGGACATACGGGTAATGCACCAGTTAAGTGTAACCTCTGTAATGAGACATTCCGAAGATACTCAAATTTAACTCAACATAAAAATCGTCATCATTTAAATATCAAACGAAAACTTAAGGATTATATTTGTCATTGTGGTGAAGTGTTCCATACAAAGAAGAAGCTTGCCTGGCACAAAGAAACTCACGATGAAAAACCAAAGGCCTGTACCTATTGTAACGAAAGATTTATTCATATGGCCAGCTTGACGCGGCATATGAGACGTGCTCACAATCGTCGATTTGTACCCGATGCTCAACGTGAGAATGAGAATGTTGAATGTCCGATCTGTAAATGTATCTATTTACGCTCATCTCTTTCAGTTCACATGCGTGTACATAATGGTGAGCGTCCGTATGAGTGTCAGGTGTGCTCAAAAGCGTTCAGTACCAAGTGGAACTTACAACTGCATAAATGGACTCATGCAGCACGCAGCACCAAACCCTTTAAGTGCAATCAGTGTAGCGCAGCATTCTATCGGCACAGCGATTATACGGCTCACATGAACTCACATAGAAACGTTAGACCGTATACGTGTAACTATTGCGGCGCTCAGTTTATCAGAAAATACAATTGTTTGAGACACGTTAAAGAACATGAAGAAAATAAACAATATACTTGTGATGTATGCAACAAGACTTTTCACCGATCGTATTATCTCAAAGAGCACCTACGTGTTCATAGTGGTGCTAGACCGTACACGTGTCACATATGTGGCAAAGCAAGCAGTACTAAGTCTAATCATAATAAACATGTGAGAATTCATCATGCACGTGAACCTATAAATACGGAAAATTAAGCATGAATTAATTAATTTTTCTTTTTTAGTTTTAATCTATACCAGTGTGCATAATAAACTTTAATCAATCCAAAGTATAAATGGATACAATGAAAACTCGAAAATGCAGTGAAGCAATTTTTAAATTAAATGATAAGAGTGATGGTGATTGTGCCGAAATGTTTCAAGATTGTGTTCTTAATGGTTAATAAATTTTAAACGTACTATCTGTTTTAATAGTTTGTAGTATTATTAAAAAAGAAATTTTTTTTTGTTTTAAGACTTGTTTATCGATTCGAGTTGTTTTCTTAGTTACAATTTTGTTGATTCCTTTATTAATTAATACTCGTGAAAGTCACGTGTGATCAAATCAGTTTGACGTTAAATAAATATAGATATTACGTCGTTAACTTTATTAAATATGTTTGTGGTCTAGGAATTGTGGTTTATAAATTTAATAACTCAAAACCTTCTACTTACTTAAGATATTGACTACTAATAAAAATATTAGACATAAAAATAACACCAATTGGAATTATGGCAATTTCATGAAATAAAGAACAAAGCAAGGAACGAAAAAAAAAAAAAAAGATAGAATAGGAGTAATGAAAAAAAGTATCTTTGTATATTTGTCTCTGGGAAATTGAATAGATAATTAATAATTGAAACAAATAAACAGGGACTATATGAAACAATAATAATTAAAGAAAATAATAAAAATGATTTGCCAATTAATAAATAATAAATTAATGCATAAAAGTAATTAATTATCATATTAATAATTATTAAGAGAAAAATAAGATATATAAAATATTATTAAAATTATTTACGTGTCAGTCGTAAGTGAATTTTTTTTACTGTTTTACAAATTGAAAACATGTGAATAATACTACAATAATACATTGGTATTAAAGATAATGTGACCGGCCAAATTAAGCGTGTTTTTAACAGAGAATCACTATGTAAGCTCATTAATAGTTATAACTAAAAGAGGGATATCACAATTAAAACGACTACTTAAAGTCGTGACGATAATGATAATATTTCAGTTGTTATTCTTCTATATTTATATATTTTGCAATGCATAAAGTGATTTTCGTTAGTAATTCCAATACTAAGACTGATCGATGTTGGTTTTTCGTGCTGCTCTCTGTGAGAAAAGTAATTTAATGGGATTATTAATAATCACAAATGCGAATTCGTCATCTATTACATTATATTTCGAATTTTAATTTCATTAACTAAGTATTTTAATAAATAAATAAATAATCATTAATAATATTATGAAAATAAATATGAATGACTTAAGTTTTGGATACGATTGTAAGAGTCCAAGACAACTCGTTCGTATTTCCCTTAGCTAGTTAGACGCAAATTTACTTCAGAGCTGTACCAAAACAATAATGAAACAAAAAAAAAATAATAATTATACATAATTATCGGACTATTGTTAGTGTGATAAATGTTGATTGGTCATAAATGATGTAAGAATGGTGGAAAATTTTATACGTGCTGAGGGAGCAGTATACAAAGGGAGAGGTACAACTATTTGAAATATTTAGTATCGAATGTATCTTTAAGCTATCGTATGATAAAAAATTAATAGAATAATAAAATAAATAAATTGCTCGTCAATTCGTAAAAGAAATAATTAATAATAATGATAAAAATAATGATATTGATTAATAATAACGATTTAAAAAAATAAAAATTAAAGAAACCAACATCGATGTCCGTACGTGCAATTTGTTTAGTTGAAAATGTAACTAATTGACAAATGAAGCGTCAACAATTAAAGTTGATAATGTCTATTCATATAGAGTGAATTGAAGCAATTGTACATATATATTGTAAATATGTATATCGATGCTATTTTATAATAGGGTCAATGAAACAAAACAAAGTTTCAATCGGCAAACACATCGTATGAAATCTTATTCATACTCTTGTGAAAATAAATGTAGGGTAATTATAATTAAAAAAAAAATATTAAATCAACATGTGTACACCTTAATAAACGTTATGTATTGAGGTACTTTTTAAAAATTATGTTTTCTCTTATTTCTTATAAAACTTTCATACCCTTTTTCTTTTTTAACTGCCGTCTTTCATATAATTTGTACTAATGTATCATCGTTTTTACGTCGTACTGTATACCACCGATTTGTTTACATTAAAGATAACTGTTAACAATGAAATATTATTTACAAAGCTTAATTTTATTCTATTTTTATTTCCACTTTATTATATCACATAATATTTGACTATCATTTATTTATTTTATTCGGTAGTTTGTTATTTATTTATTTGGTACGGAATTTTATTTGATCTTATGATTATTTAAATATAAACGGACAACAAGATAAGCCATCTTTAAGGGAATTTGGGCACTTTTTTATCAATTGACTGATAAGGTATTGAACGACCTAAGATTGTTTTAATTTTGAAAAAATACTCAGCATCTAAAACATTATGTATCTCCTCCCTCCATCTTTGACCTTTCAAATATAATTCAGAAAAGCCATGCCATCATTAAAAAAAATAATAAAATGCTTTATTTTCTAAGAAAATCGTTCATGTACTAAAAATTCCACTACCACGCTTAGTGCGCCATCTATGTAACTATTCGAGCAAGTTTAAGCTTGTAATCGCATGTATAACCTATACAAAATTAAACAGCATTTATTATATATACCGGTATACCAGTATACTGTACTGTTTACTTACGTTTTGTTGTGTTACAAATTTTTGCTGTAATATATAATTAATATATATTAAAGGAAATTTTTCACCATTTATATTCGTATAAAAACAGTATTCCTATTTCCAAGTATTATTTTCATTATATTTCAAACCAACAATGGTTTGAAGTAACTGAAAAATACATTCAGACAAAAAGTTAACCTCACTTTTTCGATTGTTGAAATGTAAATATTCTTTTTACTTTTATGTATATTATAAAATATTGTTGATAAATAATTTTTAAATTATAAACGATCGTAATTTTATTTAATCTTAACGTATTGATATTATTTCAGATAAGTCAAAATGTCTGTAAAACGAAAAGCCATGGATAATCAAGTGCCGGCAGAGGAAAGTGACTTATTGTCGATTAAGCCTCTAGGAGCGGGACAAGAGGTTGGAAGGTCCTGTATAATGTTGGAGTTCAAAGGGAAAAAAATCATGCTTGATTGTGGTATTCATCCAGGATTGTCAGGCATGGATGCTTTACCATTTGTTGATTTAGTTGAAGCAGATGAGATTGATTTATTATTAATATCTCATTTTCATTTGGATCATTGTGGAGCTTTACCTTGGTTTCTACAGAAGACAAGCTTTAAAGGTCGTTGTTTTATGACTCATGCAACAAAAGCTATTTATCGTTGGTTGTTATCAGATTACATTAAAGTAAGTAATATTGCAACAGAACAAATGCTTTACACTGAGTCTGATCTTGAAGCTAGTATGGATAAAATTGAAACCATCAATTTCCATGAAGAAAAAGATGTATTTGGAATCAAGTTTTGGGCTTATAATGCAGGTCATGTATTAGGAGCTGCAATGTTTATGATAGAAATAGCAGGAGTAAAAATTTTATATACTGGAGACTTTAGTAGACAAGAGGACCGGCATTTAATGGCAGCTGAAATTCCGAATGTCCATCCTGATGTATTGATCACAGAGTCAACTTATGGAACTCACATCCATGAAAAAAGAGAAGATAGAGAAGGAAGATTTACAAATTTAGTTCATGAAATTGTAAATCGAGGAGGTAGATGTTTAATTCCAGTATTTGCTCTTGGTAGAGCTCAAGAGCTACTTTTAATTCTTGATGAATATTGGAGTCAGCACCCAGAGCTTCATGAAATTCCAATCTACTATGCATCTTCGTTAGCAAAGAAATGTATGGCAGTCTATCAAACTTATGTTAATGCAATGAATGACAAAATTCGTCGGCAAATTGCTATAAATAATCCATTCGTCTTCAAACATATTTCAAATCTCAAAGGAATTGATCATTTTGATGATATTGGACCATGTGTAGTGATGGCATCACCTGGTATGATGCAAAGTGGTCTATCGAGAGAACTTTTTGAATCTTGGTGTACGGATTCAAAGAACGGAGTGATAATTGCTGGTTATTGTGTTGAAGGGACATTAGCTAAATCAATTTTATCTGAACCTGAAGAAATTACAACAATGAGTGGTCAAAAGTTACCATTAAAAATGACTGTTGACTATATTTCTTTCTCTGCACATACTGATTATCAACAGACGTCTGAATTTATTCGAATTCTGAAACCACCTCATGTGGTACTAGTCCATGGAGAACAAAATGAAATGGGTCGTCTAAAAGCTGCGCTTCAACGAGAGTATGAAGATGATCCAAATACAATGATGGAAATTCATAATCCTAGAAATACCTTTGCTGTGGAACTTTATTTTAGAGGAGAAAAGACAGCTAAAGTTATGGGAACACTTGCAATGGAAACTCCAAAACCAGGACAAATTTTATCAGGAGTTCTAGTGAAACGAAACTTTAATTATCATATGCTGGCACCATCAGATCTGCCCAAATATACTGATATGAATATGAGTCAAGTTGTTCAACGACAAAGCATTTACTTTAGTGGATCTCTTCCAGTTCTACGACACCTCCTGACACAGATTGCTGGAAATCTAGACCTTATTGACGACAAAAAAATGCGTGTCTTTAAAAGCATAGATGTGACTGTTGACGGCAAAATTGTTACAATGGAATGGATAGCAACTCCCGTTAATGATATGTATGCTGATTCTGTACTTACTGCTTTATTGCAAGCAGAAATGATGGAAACTCCTCCAAAAACTTTATCCGCACCAACAAAAATGGACAGAATGCATTTCAAGGAATGCTTGATTGAAATGCTTCAGGAAATGTTTGGAGAAGACTCAGTGCCGAAGATTTTTAAAGGTGAAAAATTATATGTTACTGTAGATACTAAAAAAGCTCATATTGATTTGATGAGTCTCGAAGTAATTTGTAAAGAAGATGAAACCTTTCAACAAATAGTTCAAACCGCAGTTACAAAACTTCATCAATCCCTGGCACCACCAAATGACTCTATATAACATTATTTTATGAATGATTATTGTATGAATTAGGTTTTCATTGAATATTTATTTAGGATGTATGTATACTTTTATAAATTAAAAGGCGTATTTATAAGAATATTTTTTTTTATTTTCTAATGTTTACCACTCATAATTTTCATTTTTTACAATAACATTGTATATTTTTACATTTTCATATAAATTAATAAAAAATCAATTTCATTAGTTGTATTCAGTTTTTGTAATAAATATGATTAAAATAAAATAATATATTTATAAGAAAAATTGATTGAGTAATTTTTATCTAATGCTTCCCATGATTGCTGGCGTCAATTGCATTGTATAAATAAATAAAGTATTGCAGTGATAAATAAATAAATTGATTACAATTGATTATTTCGAATTGAAAGTCGCAATAGCGAAAAAAAAATATAATTAATATTAAAATAAAGCACGAATCAAAATGATTAAAAAAAATTGATTAAACATCATCTTGATTAAAATTATATTCAGTGAGGTCACCCCAAGCAGGGCCAGATTTAATCTTAACAGGCAAAGGAACTGATAAAGGATGAGCCTGCTCCATTGATTCCTTGACAATTCTTGCTACTAAGTTTAAATCTGTTGCATTAACCTCATAAAGAAGTTCATCATGAAGTTGAAGGACTAAGTAAGCTCCTCGAGGTAAAAAATCTTGACTACGTCTCAATTTTCTCTTCAATGGTTCATCTGGTAAGACCATTGGCATACCTTCGAATGCTGCTCTTATTTTTTCATCTACAAGAATCATAGCTTTTTTAGCTATGTCAGCAGCAGATCCTTGGATCTTTGTGTTAATTGCTTGTCTTTCGGCTTGACCTTTTTCTCCAGCAGCTTCACTATTCAATGCTGGTAGCATTCTTCGACGTCTCATCAATGTTCTCACAAAGCCTTTCTTTCGAGCTCTTTCAAGTGTTTCATTGATCCATTTTTTCAATCCAGGGTAAGCTCCCATGAATGTGTCTTGGAAATCTCGAGCTTCTGATTCCTCAACTTGCAGGGTTTCTGCTAATGTTTTTACACCCATTCCGTAGATCATTGCGTAGATCAACTGTTTAGCTCGTTGTCTCATCTTATCATCGACTTGAGACTCTGATGTATTATGCCATTGAGCTGCAATATTTTTGAATACATCCCCAGGTTTTTTTAAAATACTCATGAGTGTTGGTTCTTTAGAATAATGAGCTAAAATTCTTAACTCTAACTGACAATAGTCTGCGGATAATAAAACATTTCTTGGAGCAGGAACAAATGCCATACGGATGCTGATAGTAAAACTATTATCCGCTACTTCAAAGTCTCGAGGAATATTTTGCAAGTTCGGATCATACATAGATACTCTTCCAGTAACAGTATTAGTAAAACAGTTTCCATGGATCCTAGAACTTCTTTCACAAGCACTTAATAGAGGACAAACAACTTTAGTGAACGTTGTACTTAACTTTCTCCAACTCAGGACTAATTTAGCTATTGGATGATCACATCTCTCTAGAACCATCTTACTAGTACTAATTTTCTTACCAGTAGTCAGTTTGAGCACTTCAGCAACACTTCTAGGTGATGAAAAATTAAACTTTCTTCCTGCTAATGCGAAAGCTTTGTTCTCAAGAGAAGTCAACTCTTGTTGAATTACATCTGCAAGCTCTTGTAAAGCAACTAGATTTACTCCTAATCCTGATAATTCCATTCTTGCTAATATTGCCATTGTGCCCATCTCTACTTCTTTGAAAGCTGTTAACAAAGCTGGATCCATTTTTCCCAGTTTTCTTCCAAGACATTCTAGAAGATACCAACTTAGCAGAGTTTCTGTACAGCATCTGAGTTCACTGGACGTTGAACTTTTGACATTCATTCCAGGACCAGCGTCAACAGAAAGCGGTCCAAGTTTTTGTAAAAGACCAAAACCTTCTGGTAAAAATTCAGTGATTAAATTTGCAAACGTTCTATCTTGATAATCTGGATTTAACATCCAGTTGGCCGTTGATGAATCAAGAAATTTGCACACAGGTGTTAATCCACAACATTTGTATAACATTTTATAAATCTCTTTACAGTTATAACACCGAATTTTCAAACTAGCTGACGAAAATATTTCAGTCAATAACTCCATTCTTTTTTTGACAGGAACTTTGTTAGCCTCTTTTGAGTTTTCAAAAGGCAGATAATAAACCTTTTGACCCCAACTAAATCCAATTCCACAGAGTTTTTTATCATTATACACTGCACTTCCACCTTTAAGTTGTGGTAACTTCCTTAAGATTTGATATGTTTGACCACCAATAATTCTCGTACCAATACTAGTAATCTCTCCTGAAAATACTTCACATGCCAAAGCCATTGAAATCTCTCTTCGCCCATTCATTTCTGCTTTGAACTCATCAAAGTGTTCACTTTCTGATATATTAACAATAGATAGCTCATTCAGGGTATAGTGTTCTCTAATTATTCGTACCTTTTTTGTTGGAGGTTTTGACAAAAGTTTTCTCGAAGTTGATAAAATATTTCTCCTCTTTGCTGGAATACTTTCATCATCAGAGTTTAATACAACACTCTGAGTACCATCATCACCAATCGAATTCTTTTTGCTTTGATTATCACTTGAGCTCAGTCGCCTTTTTACGCCTACTCCTGATGAAAGAATAGTACGTTCTTCAGTTATATTAATATTTGTTGTTGCTTGAGAAGAAATTACACTTTTTTCTACAGTTTTTTGTGTTTGTTGGGTTCGCAAAGAGTCTATTCTCATCCTTGCTCGTGTTTTCTTCACTCTTCTGATAATATCTACACTTTGAGAAGGAATGATGATATCATCTTCTGATTTGCTTGAACCAGTAGACAATCTTCTAGAGGTATCATAAGTAATTAAGCTTGCGATAGGAGATTTATTGGCACTTGGAGAGCTATACCTTCTTTGAGACAACCTATGAATTTTATTAACCTGTGATTTTTCTACGGAATTAGATTCAGTACTTTTTCTTCGTGGTAATGGTGGAGTAAATTCTCCCTTCTTTCCATCAATATTGGAAGGTCCTGGTTTTGGAGATTCAAAAATAGCTTTTTCGGCAATCATCTTTGAAAATTCGCTTTGATTGGACTTTTCAATTGGAGAAGTCAGTTTTGTTTTGCTCCAAGTGTCTTCTTCCCAAATAATTGATTTGTTTGATGTTACTGGAGAAGGCCTAGTTTGACCAGATCTATTTGAACGTAAAACTCTGTCTTTTTGAATTTGTTCAACTCTACTAGTAATTAAACTTCCCATACTATTTTTATTCATTCTTGATGATGCTTGAGAGAAATGGGTTTCATTAAACACAACACTGTCTAGATCCACAATATTTTTCTCTAGTATATTCAATTCCTGAGAATCAACATTCAAACTGTCATCAAATATATTAGGACTTGGAGTGAAGGAATCTTTCTTGCGAGCATCTCCAACTGATTCTGATTCTGGAATAGTTTCAGGCACTACAGTAGGATGATTTATCGATGATATTTCTTCATTTTCTATTTCTGTGCTAAAGAGTCCACTTTCAATATTCGTATTTATAACAGAAGCTGCTCTAGGCTCTTCTTCAAAGACTTCATTGTCAATTTCCATTACTTCATCAACTTTCTCTGCTTCTGCATGAATAGTTTCCTTTTTTAAAATAATATTATCTGGCTCTGATTCAAATATTTCATCATCGCTGTCTAATCCTATAGTAAGATTATCTAACGCAACATCCAAAATTTTATTACCTTCATCCTCTGCTCTTTCATTGCTATGAATTGATATCAAATCTGAAATATTACTGTGCCCGGAGATTAACTCTGATAGATTGCTGTGTCCGGATACTAGCTCAGAAAGATTACTATTTCCTGACATCACCTCGGAAATATTATCTTCAGATTCAGATTTCTCATTGAATAAAGATGTATTTTTCGATTTACAATGATTTGCAACTGTATTTACACTCACATTTTCCTTCACTTCTACAGTATTTTGCTGATTCTTGTCTGTTTGATCAACAGATTGATTTACATTGGATCGCGTTTCATTTACATTTTTGCTTTCTTCATTCTTATCAATAAAACTTTTGCTGAGACCGGAAATAGTGCTACCAGTTCCACAATAGCCTTGAGAAGCTTCAATATTACTCTCATCTTTCTTTTTACTTTTATTTTCCCACTGCATCTCATTTAATCCCAGTTCATTTTGAACTAAACTTCTAGCTTCTTTCACCAACATTTTTGCAGCTTCTCTAGGTGTAAGTCCATCTTTTCCAGTTACAAAAACAGTTCTCATTTTATTTCTTCTAACGGCATCATTTTCATGTTCTCCATCTTGTTCCTTTTCACTTTCAAATGGAAGTGCTTTATATAGAGCCCTTTCAACGTCCAGTTCATCAGCAACGGCAAGTTCTGCTACAGACTTGATTCCTGATTTAAATAAACTTCTTGCTCTCAAGCCATTAAGCGTAGGTAGTCTTAAAAGATCTAAAAGTTCACTACAAACTCCAAATTGCAATCGCGCTTGAAATTGTGAGACCAGTAATTCAATACAACTCCATCCAAGTTTTTTACAAAACTGTGTTACCATTCCTGCAAATGTAGAAGCTGTTTGTTGAAGACTTTGAATAACACCACGAGAACAGCTATATTTTTGACAAACTGTGTGTAACGGAATTTCTCTAACAAGATCATGAAGAGCTAAAGCAGTAAAAAAACGTTTATGAATATCTAAAGATTTTCCTGGTTTTGGATCTCTTTTTAAAGCAGAAGCTAAAAATGCTTCAGTTACTCCTACAAGATGACCAACTCTCTGTTCACTGTCGGAAATATTCTTCCATATATCCAAGTAAACATACCAATCAATTTGACCAATTTGACTAGCAGAATTGAATGGAGTCACCAAATAAATAACATGAAGTTCTGTGTCAAGAACAAAGCATTTTCTAGCTTTTTGGAGTTCTTCGAAGAGAAATAAACCATCAGCTGGAGGTACTGAGGCAGCTAAACAGGCTTTGCCTAATTGAGTAGCCACCCATCTATTCATATTTTCCTGAGATTTTTGTAAAAGTAATAATTCATTTTCCACTAGAAATGTAATAGCTTGATTTGTAATTTCTTCGATTACATTTGAGTTGTTACTAAAGTTTAATAAAGTACATTTCATGTATGCAACTATATCTTCCAATGTATAGGCCACTTCACTAGCAACAGCTTCAAGCAGTGCTCGAACTAAAGGCCTAGCTCCTTCTAAACAAGACTCTATTGGTTTTAGATCAGATTTTAATAAAGCAATTACTGCATTTCTTTCATGAGGTTTACATACCAAAATACTTTCACCAGCAGTATCTCTACCCATTCTTCCAGCTCTTCCAATCATCTGCTTGTAAGTTAGAATATCAATGGTTTGACCATGAAATATTGGAGTACGAATAATGACTCTTCTTGCTGGAAGGTTGACTCCACTGCTGAGTGTTGATGTGGCTGTAAGTACTCTTAAAGCTCCTGATCTAAATGCACCTTCAATAACATCTCTTTCATCCATGGTTAAACCTGCATGATGAAAAGCAACTCCAAATGAAACAGTTTGTCTTAAAATTTTATCTAAACCTACTGGAGTACGTTTAAGTTGCTCCAAAGTCTCCATGATTGCATCTTTGCTTAATTCGTTACGTAAACGTTGTCCCAATGATCTATTTTCAGTTCCCAATTTGAAAAAGACGGTGGATACTTGTTTAGCTAGAGTTTCACACCAATTTTTTGAAGGGCAAAATATTAAAACACTATGGCTGTCTAAGATAGTTTCTAAACAAAGTTGTAAAATATTTTCTGAATCATTGGGTAAATCTTCCAGAGGGCTCAACTCTCTGATTTGATTTAATTGATTGTCATATATAGTGGAACCTATTTTACAAAATTCTTTCAAAGGAACTGGTCGAAAATCTGTCTTATAAAGCTCAGCATCTAGCCAGTTAGCAAGAATATGAAGATTTGGTAGTGTCGCAGACATTCCTATCAATTGAATATTAACATGTTCCTCTTTTAAAGTCATAAACTTTAATTTTGTCAATAATAATTCCAATAAATAACCTCTATGTGAATCTCCTAGTAAATGTAATTCATCAATAACTACAGCCCCAAGGTTTTCTAGTCCTCCTTCTTCCATTAACTGATTTATCAAAGAATTTGCTTTTTCAATAGTTGCTATGGCCATGTCAGTTGCATTAAACCCTCCTGGAGGTTGGACTCCACCCATGAAGCCTTCAACTCTTATTCCAGCTTCAGATAAAAGGTCTTGGAAGTAATACATCTTCTCTCGAACTACAGAAACGAATGGTAAGACAAAGATCACCTTTTTCTTACGCTCTAAGACAGTTTTGATGATTAAAATTTCAGAAACTAGAGTCTTCCCTGCTGATGTTGGTGCAGAGTAGACGAGGTTCTTGCCTTTTTCGATGATTGCTGGGTTTCTGAGACATTCCACTTGCCAAGGAAACATACTAATTACTCCTCTAGATTCATATTTTCTTAAAATTGTTAAAGGCAAGCCCCAATAAGCTAATTTTACCCTGTCTTGACTATTGATAATTGATGGAATCTCCACTGAAAGCTCCGTAATCAAATTTTGATCATTTCGGAGTGATGACTCATTAACTGATAATGATGATTCAATAATAGTTCGAGGAAGCTCAATATTACTAACAGTTCTTGAAAATCTTGATGTCGAAGGTTTAGAAATGTCCGTTAAATTTTCTGCTTTATTTAAAGATTTACTTTCGTCTGATTTTTTGTCAGTTGAAGATAAAATAGCTCCAGCACTTGGAATTTTTTTCATTCTCACCTTACTGGCCCCACAGAATATTTTTCTCGGACTTCTAGGATTTCGTAAAAATCTTGTGAGTTCTGGACTCGCTGACCGATCATTAGAATTATTCTTGTCATTCTGAACATTTCGAAAAGAATTTTTCGATTCTATCACAATATCAAGTGCTGGTCTGCTCCGAATTAATTTTCTAGGGCTCTTTTTTGGAGTTCTTGGACTTTTTGGAGTAGCTCTCTTGGGACTCTTATCAGAATTTTTGGTGAATGATACAATACTGTCTTTGAAATATTTTCCTAAATCACTATCTTCTTCATTAACTTTGGTTGCATTAGTAGATTTATTTATATTACTCGTTTCACCAGTTCGAAAGCTATCGAGTTTTGAAAATGCTGCAAGTGTATTATCTCCTAAGGACTGCATTTTAAAAAAAGTGCAAGTGTTTTGTCAAAAGTAAACACAGCTTTATAACTTGTGCTCCAATACTCCAAAAATAATTTACACAAGTTATCAGCTCCAAAACACTTGTACTCTGAAAGAAAAAAATAAAATGAGGTAAATTGTAATAACAAAGTACATTATATCTAGTAATTGATAAGAATTTAAGATAAAAAGCTTACAGAAAATTGGTTAGGAAATACTTGTGATATTCTTGTAGACATTTTATTGTAAAAATTGTAGAAAAAATTTGTTATACATGATTAATATTATTCAAAAGTGTAACAAAGAATATAAATAAATTATCTCACTATAGTTTAATTGATTTGAATAACATCATCATGGTAGAAAAAGAGAATTCGACCAGCGAATTCAAACATTTGACGTAGACTAAAGTACGTTGACAAACAAAGCGATTTTAACAGTAGATGGAAAAGAGAATGGAAGGAAAAACTCTCTTACCATCAAAAGGAAATGATTTTCCAGATGTTTTTTAAATACAAAAATTTTCAACATCTAGTATATTTTTTCAATTTTCATTGTATTTACTTAAATATTTTTATTATAAAACGGTATTGATCTAAGAATCATTAAAATACTATTAAGCTATTGAATTTGTTTACTATAAATAATGAATTTATTTAGCGCCAATATTGTAAATTTTATTTATTTATTAATTTACATCGTAAAAACGTAAAAGCAAAATTATTGCGGAGCTTTGCCACGTCCAAATCCACCGCGGAATTCAAGATCTCCCGTACCAGGTCCAATATCAGCTTTTTTGTCACCAGGAGCTGGAGGTCCACCTGGTCCACGTCTGTATCCAGCACGATCTTCTGCGGGTCTTGAGGACTCGCTCTTTGATGCTGCTGGTCGTGGTCGAGTTGTTTCTGGTCTAGGTTGTCTCTTCAATGTGGAAGGTACAATTTCAGGAGGCAAATGGAGGTATCCTCTGAGGTACTCAATACCTTCATTCGTGAGGTACCAATAGAAATGTCTCCATGCAAACTGTTCCTTGACGTAACCTCTGGATTTAAGAGACTAAAAATAAAAAAAATATTATATACTTAATAAGTCATTCATAATCTACTGACAAATGAGATTAATAAGCATTTCTAGCAAAAAAAAATATGATTTGACGTACCTGCATTGCTTTAATAACTTGGAGGTTAGGAATTGTATCTAACTCAGGGTGTTTTGGGGCATGATAATCCTTTTTAGCCACCATGACTCCTTCTTTGAAGAGATATTCATAAATGGCAACACGATTCTTCTTGGGCATCAACATCTAAATGATAACATTATAATCATTAGTTAAATAACATTTTAGGAGTAAGTTATGAATATTAGTTAAATATAAATGATTAAGTAGTAATATAAGTAAAGAATTATTAGTTTTGCAGATTTATTAGAGTACTATTGTTAAACAGTCTTATTGTTGTCACTGTTTATAGAGGTTAACTCATCTGATTCACATCAATGACAGCTAAAGCACCAAATTGTTCACTATTTTATTGAGATAATAGAATTGATAATAAATAGACAGCATTTTAATAATGATCAAAATTAGTTTAATAATTGGAATATATCCATTAAATAAACAAACTTTATTTTGAAATGCTAGTTTGTCGGTAAAATTGATTCATAACCTCAACGGGAAACTGATGTCATGTTTGTATTGATAGATAAATTGAACATTTTTTAAGTGACACTAAAAATTTATTACAAGGTGACGGAAAAAACAATAAAGAATTTATAACAATTCTTACTTTGACCAAATATTTAGCGATGCACGAGTTAAAAGCGGATTTTTCTACGCTCCAGGGCGACAAAATAGATCCAAGTTGGCGCTATTGTCGAAAGGAAATTTTAAACCTCGAACGAAGTGAAGGACAGAAAGAATCTATCATCAAATTTTTAATTACTCTACCATCAGCGCCATTGTTTCGAGTGTCATTTTCATAAATTATTAAGCCAAATCAGTCGGTAATGCTCACAAAATTGATAAATTTCTGTTTTATCATCATTGTTAGATCAATTTAGAAAAATACATCCTAGTATGCATTGATAATCATGAAATTTCATTTCATTTACAATAAAATAAGAAAAAAAGTTCGTATGGGTAAGCTCTTAAATTATTCCATCTTTCTACCAACGAGTTCTTTCCTTCTATAGTGATAAATAAATGTTATTTTTTATGACAATTTATTAGTTGCGGAAATATTGGATACAAGGAAATAAAATAAAGATTAGTAATTTTATGAGTAATACTATAAAATCATATATAATAATGTATAATCAGCTTTTGCAATAATTTTTATATTTATCTACTCTATCATATTAAACTAGATGTCTTAATTATTTAACGAGGATGTCCTAGATCATGAGATGTTACTCTCCACACCTATCTTTTTTATATAAAATTTACAGTGATGATTAGTTAATTAGTATATTCTGCATAAAAATTATAATCTAATGATAGACATAAATGATCTATATAAATAAACTAACTTATTTCATAGTTTCAATAAAAAAGTTGTAAAATATGTAACTATAACTACACTAAATATTAACTCTTTTAAATAATTGTTTTGGACTATTTAGATTAGACAGAATTTTATTACTTTTCCAGTTAATTGGAAACATTAACGACTGAGATGCAAAAAATATGTAAGCTTATTTTACTGAATTTCATTTTAATGCTTTTTTTTATTTCTTTAGTACAATTTTTAAGCAATAAAAAATAATCTTGTTATAAAGGTCAAGTTTTATAGATTTCAGGAACTCTAGAAAATTGGTTTCTTTTTTTTAATATAATAGATTCCATAACAGTTCATATTTATGGTATTAGGTATTCCAAGTAAACATAAATGAACAAATAATCTTACACAATAAAATAAAATAACAAAATAATCCTGCTTTATAAATAAAATCTTATCTTTAAGATGACAAATTGTTGAAAGCATCTTGATAAACGAATACAATGTTACATCTCTTTTTTAACTGATCACAAATAATATTTTATTTAACAAATAAATGTTTATTAAAGTTTTGTTACTTTTATTATATTTATTATTTTTAGTTTAAAAATTCTAGGATATTTTGATTCTTAACTTAAATATAATTTGGTAGGAGTATCAATCAATAAGAAGACAGGTGAATTTGCTTACAAAAATTTTTATTAATTGTCAGAATATAAAAAGAGACAATTACATCTATAGTGATAGATTACAGTTAATTCTAACTTACACCAAATGATAAACAATTCCATGAATTAGCATTTAAAATAATAAAAAGAATACAATAATACGTGAATGAATTCATCATGAATCAATGGTCGTGTAGGAATACGTTTAAATATTAAATTCATTTCATTAATAATGTTACAATTAATATTTGTAATAGTTGATAATTGATATATATATCAAATGCTGATTTAATTATCGCGATAAAAATAAATACATTTATAAATCGTGTGCCGTTATAAAGGAAATAAGCGAATCTCGTAAATCGACAAGTAAAGTAATCGTATTAAGAGTCGAACGCACTTCCGTCTTGGATGATGCACACCGATAAACAGGAATGCGTTAAAAAAATTTGTGAAAAAACCAAAGACTTTGCACGAGATGTGAGTGAAAGAAAACGCTACAGAGAAGAATCACGATGAGAATACTCGGGCGTTTCATGTACAGTTAAATCTATTTAAGTGCCTAGTTAGTCATTATCCATTTCTTCATAGTGACTTTGATAAGAAAAAAATATGTATGAGAAGAAAAGGCACAGAATCAAGAAAGCATTTATGCCACAACTTAATTAAGGTGCAATACTTTTATTATTATTATTACTTTCGAAAGAACATTAATTTCAGAGGAAATAAATAAAACTGATTTTATTTCGCCGTAAGTTGTGCATCTAGAGGGTTCTTTTACCAAAGCCCTGAAGAATACCCGCCAGGTGGTACACGAGTACGTGGTTTTGTGCTTGATGGAGATGAATCGGTGGTAGACTTGGAATCACCGTTAATGCTTGAAGAGCTGCTGCCATTGTGCGATGATGAGTTATTTTGTTGATCAGGAGTGATGCCAGTAACCGGGTTACGATCTGTAGAGAAAATATATTTATGAAGTTAGTTATTTCATCAGATGTCAAGTGTTGAATTTAGAGTTTAGGGAAGACTTTTCAGGCTGATAAGTTCCTTGGAAGTCTTCGAAGCACATGAAATGCAGAGCTTGAAATAAAAAAATTCATAAAAAAAACACAGTTTACAATCTTTTTTTTTTTAAGTATTTAAACTACTTGCTGATTTCAAATAGAAATTCTAAGTGAAGAAACTACTACTGATGAATCTTTACCAGAAATACTAAGGATGGATTAGTACTTCAAGTTTTAGCACAACATAACTCACCTTTTACCCTTTAACAACACACATAGTAGAATATTTTCAGGCAAGGGATTGTTTTTATTTTAAATTAAAATAATTCGGTTTAATTATCAACAATCAAAGTCAATGTCTGATACCTATTTTGATTTTTTCTAACTATTTTTTTATTTACTTCATGATCAGTCAAGACTAAGCCATTCATATATTTTTAAAAGTAATTTTAAATCAAGAAATAAATTACTGAGAATAAATATTTTATATTATGAAATATTTCTGAAGCTCAAAGATTCTTTCAATGCTAGAAAAGCCATTGACAATGGTAAGTAAATATAATTATTCTAATGTTTCAATGTGATTGGAGAATCATTCCAAATTCTAATGATAAATTAATCACAATTCAATGTCACATTGAAGAAGAATCTACATTTGAATAATTACCATCTTTATTTTTAGGTTAGCTGTAATAACAGACAAATGAATTGAAAAAAAAAAACAAGAGCTTAATTATAAAACTGACATGGAAAACTCATTAAAATATTATATGAAGTATCTGGTGGAATATATATAGCTTTTAATCCAAGGACTATACCGTGACTTCTATGCTTTATTAATCAAAATTGTAGGTTTTCTATATCGACACTACAATGTACAAATTACTGTACTCATTACGAGCTATAACTTTACTCGAAGGCTCTTACAAGAATATTTAATCAATGATAATGATAAAATAACTAGTAACAATAGTACTTGAATTAATTTTTTAAAATATTTGACATCATAAAGATTGATGGGTGAAGGAATATTGAAATCAGGATGACATTGATTAATACAAGTTCATGGGAAAAAAACAACAATTTAAGGAAGTATGTAAATCGTTGACGTTACCTCGACACCTTCTGGTGCGCCTAATTGGCGTAATTTCAATTCCATCTCCAGTGACAGGATTCCGCGTTAAGCAAGAGGATCCTCCTGTGAGGCCATCACCAGTGGGGACAGGGCAAGTTTGATTCCACCAAAGAGATTAACAGGCACCACGCCATCAAAGCACGTACATATTCACCCCATGCACCGAGACAAAACATCGCAACACACGCGATCCAACAACCGGTTTTTTGTGTTAGTGTCTTTTTAATTATGTCTTGAGAATAAACCGTTAAAGAATTCGGGATATAAATATCTACATCCAACCTTTTTCTCTGTTTATTGATAAAAAAGGTTTAAGAGCAATCTTTTATCAGATTAGTTCCATTTCTCTTCATGAACATCAACAACATCAATTCATTAAATATTTTCTGAATGTTTATTAGCTTCAACTAATAAATAATAAACATTGCAGTGATGTTTTAGCAAATGATTATAATAATTGAATAAAATCATCACGAATGTTTAGAGAAGTAATTGGAAAATAATAATTTCTTTATTGTAATTTTACTTTAAAATCTAATAACCATTTCATGTTGATTGTTAAGTGAAAAATATTTAGTGCTCTCAGCTAGCATTGCTCTTAACAATAGAATTATTAACGATTTGAATTATTTATTGCTCGTGTTCTAGTATTTAAATTCTTTGATTTAATCTCAAGACGTATTTGGTGTTGTGAAGGGTATGAAAATGTTGATTAAAGCAACGTGAAAATGGTTGAGAAAACATTTAATGGAGATGCTAATGATGATGACGATGAGAGAAATTAATGGAATGAAAACATTAAATGCTCAATTTACAGTGAAAGCGTGAAAAGTTGATGAAGAATAGGAATTCATAAAAACACAAATGTACAAGTGATTATGAACAATCAGATAAATTAATAAATGAATATAAAAAAAAATTATTTAAGCATGAGTGTCATTGTGAAAGCAAAAGTAATGTGCTAAATAGCGAGAAAATAAAATAGAAAATTAGTAATAATAGCTAATGACTAACTCAAAATATGTGGTTGTATAGTAACAGGCCCTAGATTTTATTTATAACATTTTTTTAAAAAAAATATATAAATAATTGGGAGGTATAAATAATTTATTAAATAATAAGCTAATAATTAGCAATCTAATGACTTAACTAAATCTAATTGAATAGCATGGGTAATAACATAATTAATATAAAAAACCGAAAGATAATAAACAGAATCAAATTGGCGATTGAATTATATATGAAAGAGTATCAACGGTGTTCTGATTGTGTCGTGTCTACTTTTTGATTGACTAGTACACTTACGAAATCGTTTGATTCTCCTAAAAGCTGCTTGTAAATCATGTAAATTTTATCATGAGGAATTACATCAAGTTATTTATTAAAAATTGTCTCAAGAAATTTATTATTAAAATTCATATTTTTCTTGCAATGAAATAAATTTATCATTCTAGCTAACTTTAACAGATCTTTTTTTTTAATTATTTAAAAACAGTAGGCTTCTAACATTCAGGTTGTTGATGATCCTGCTATCATGTTCATGATGACAAAAACCATCAAATTATTACAAATTCTCAATTATTTTGGTAAACTTGGATTAAAAAAGTATTTTTATGTAATCATAATTTTTGTAATGATAAATATTTGAAGTTGGAAAATGTTTATTATAATGGAGTTGGACTGTAGAACCATAAACTTATCAGACAAGTTGAAATATAAATGAAAGTAACCATTTCATGAGACAATCACTGTAACGAACTCGATAAATAAATTCTGGCCAGTTTTATTCAATTAATGACTTAACTATTCAATTAGCTAACGAACAATAAATAACGGAATTGAGTTGACAACAAAAATAGTAATAATGAAGAATGTAAAAAAGGGCCTGGACTCTACACATATTTCAAGATAGTTTAAATTGTTAGGCCGTTAAAGTGTGATTACCTGTGTTATCATTAATAATTGCGTTGCCGTTGAAAGCGGTAGTGCCATTGATGTGAGTCCCATTAGACTCATCGTTCTTATTTACGTGAGAAATAGAACCGTTAACACTGTCGATATCATCTCCGCAGAGAGAGATGTTGCTGCGCATGTGATTTTTGGTGTTTTGGGGAGCAGGATCAGGGGGACCAAACAGGCGTTTGTATGAATCATTACCAGGCTTGTTTGCACGCGGCGTTTCAGGACTGGTGCTGCCTGTACTTGAACCGCTATCACCATAAAGAGCTGATCCAAGTTGAGAAGAATTGTGATTTTTCACACGACGAGGACTGGTTTCTTCACCACTGCCAAAAATATCACTGCTTCCACCACCTGGTGGTTTTAGTACTCTGAAATCAATTTATTGGTCAATTAATTACTGCTTATCAGGTTTTAACTCGTGTTCTTATAATTAATTACATTGAATTTTAATTAATGGCCATAATTTTAATATATATTGAACCTCATTTATTCGTTGGTGCTAAATATCATCAATAAGACTTTCAAATACTTGGAAGAGAAATTGTTGAGGGATTTCATTCTAAGGAATGAGAGTTTTATTGATATTAAATTATTTTATTAACGCATGAGTAAATTTATTTATGGACAATATTAATAATTAGCTTGGAAATTGCAAAAACAATTCTTATTTGAAATTTATGTTTCAATATTTCTTATCAATGTGCTGATGATAAATTTAATTCATTTTATTTGGATGTATTACATTAGGTTCTTGGACCTAGAAGGAATGTTGAAGCAGTTGCCAATTATTTTTTTTTTATATGTATAAATACAAGAAATGAAGCTCAACATCCAAGAGTAATTTCATGGATTGTGTTAAGCTGTAATATTTTATAATGCTCCAAGTAATTTCTTTAAAATTGACTTGTTTTATTGCTACTTAAACATTGATAATAAGTAGAAATTAGTTGATAAGAAAGTTTTATAATTAAATAATAAAATTAGATAATAGACTTTTCAATTGGGGTCACTGAATATCATGGCATTTCTTAATTCTCAGTTTTCTATCAACTTGGTAGAGTCTCCAAGGCTTGGAGCAGTCTCAAATACTTATTTTGAGCGTAAGTATGCTAGCAATTTGAAATTCATAGTAGCTGCCTGGTTGATTGTACTGGCGATCTTAAACTTGAATGTAATGAATACAATTTTCAACCTAGTTCTTTTGGACACCTTAGGGCTTCAAAAAATATTTTCTACTCATCACTAGCATCATAGACAACATTCATAATAAACAAAATCTACTTTCCTATGCTCCACACAAATAAAAAGTTTTTAGAAAATTATTTCAGTCACTATTTAACAATAGACAGGAATAAATAAATGTTATTTTCATCTTTTTAATGATCATACAGTTAATTTATGCATTGAAAAAATGAATAAAGCTCTCTGTAATTAGAAAGCAAATCAAAGTCATAAGAATCCACCGACATAAGTATAAAAATTCTCCTACAAAGTATAGTACAGTGTAAATTTTTTACTATTTAGTATTCAAGTATGCTAATTAAAGACCTGTTCTACAATGTATAATTTGAATTTATTATAAATAATAAAGCACGTTCATCCTCTGTAATATATCGTCTAATACCGCAGGTATGAACATAAATAAATTAAGCTAAATGTTTGACGAAGCAATCTTAGAATTATGCAAATGATTTGCGTGGCACATGGACTGAGGATTCACGGATAGCTGATCACCCCCGTGTAAACTTGAGTTAACAATTACGGTATAGTATTGAGGACCGTTTTTCTCTTCTCTCTAGTACAACTGGCACGGAAGCCTCCATCGTTGCTGCCAACTCAAACGTGCCCCCATGGCATTCCGTTCAGTTACATCTTACTTTTTTATTTTTTTTTATCATCTCTTCTTCTAAAGCTGTCTCGTCAATTTGACGGGTTTTCGTGCCTGTTAGTCTACGGTCAGATGACACGCGTTGCTTAACTCTGAGCACGTGAACACAACTCTATTGCTAAATTACTTCATGCTCTTATCTTCTTTATAATGTTGCCTTCTACCCTCTTTTTGTTCTACTCTCCTGAGAATTTTCGTAATTAGACGTGCAAATCACTTCTTCGTGCGTGCACTCTTCGACACGTGTCTATTTGGTAATTAACGAGTGCAGTTGTTGGTTTTTTTTTTTAGGTTTCGTCACTTGAGAGTGAAGTGGATAACGGGTAAGTTGAAATGAATGGATGAACAGATGGAGATTAACTTGGAACTTTTATACTCATGTCATTGCGTGACTTGGTAGAAGGAGAATTATATTCTGGGTTGGTTTATGGGTTGATTAATGAAATCAGATCCATTTTTGTACTGTTATAGTTAATAATACAGTTTTCGATTAACGTTTGATAAAGCTTAGCTTGTTAACTTGATATATTTTAAATATTTTAAACTTTCATTTATTTACCATAAACAAAGTAATTACTTAATTTGTCACAATTCTTTAAACATAAATAAATTATTTGATTTATAATTTTTTTTTTTTTCAAATATAGACAATGAATTATCAAATAAGTGGATTGATATTTATTCATGTAAAACAGTCAAGTTTATTTAGCATTCAGATGAGACATTTAAATTGTATAAAAATCATTAAATAATTATACTTAATCACGGAAATCCTAGATTACTTCCACAAATGTAGAACTAAACTATTTTTAAATTGATCTATTTTTAAGTACAATTTTTTTTTGTTTTAAAAATATAGTACTCTAAATAGTTATGACTTGTCATCGACTTGACTGTTATTAAAAATATCAAAAATTTTTTGTTAATAAAAAATCCTGAACTCTCTTTCTCTCTCAGATATTCAAAGAAGAGAAATATTTCAAAAGTTTTGATAATAAATTAGTTGATTAAAATCAATGATTGATCTTTTTTGTATTAAAAAAAAAAAATGGGGTGTAAAAATATGAATAAAAAAAAAAGGAGATCTAGATCTGATAGTCAATGCATTAAAGTAATGACGAGTTTTTTTTTCCATAAAAAAAAAGCCAATTTCTTCTTTAGAATAACAATAAAGAGAGAAATGGGAAATAGAATGAGAATAGTTGGTAAACAAAAAGGAAAGAATACATTCACGGATGCAAATATAACGAGGATAATCAATTGATCGTAGGACGTATAAAAAAATGGACGTTAGAACAGGATGGGTGTGCCTGGCGTGCGATCGGAAACGACAAGCACTGTGGAAGTAAAGTATGTAACATTGTATATACATATGTAAGTTAAGTATTATACGCGTGGTTGATTGTACTGAGGACTCTCTTACTTTATTATTATAAAATATATAGGACTGTAGAATCAACGCCTCTGCACATGTTTCTCTACTCATCAAATATACCATTTAATGTGAATCACAGTTGCACTTTAATCTATCTGATAATCAACCTCTCCAGGGCCCAGTCGATTTCGGAGCTATTTATTCCTCATCGCCTACTGTGTTATTTTTGCAACTGAACACCATCAGCCAAATATGGTCCGCTTTAATTGGACCACACCTCGCACTATTGTTCTGAAATATTTATCTAATAATCATTGGCAATTTTTGATTACAACAAATTGAAGGTTGATGGAAACAAATGTGACATTGTAAAATTATATTATTAAGAGTTTCAATGAGCACGTGATTATCGAGGAATTTTAAAGAATTTTTTAAAATGTTGGGTAATGTTTCAAAGTGTAATTGGAAGCACTGAGTAAAATTTATCTTATTAACTAAGATATTTTAACAGTCGAATGTTGTTTAATATTTTTTTAAAATAATTTTTCTTGGTAACTTGTATGGAAAATAATAAAATTTTTAAAATATATTTTATTGTAAAAATATATTAAAATGTAATTCATCATTCGCTATTAACATCAAATATAATTAAATATATTTATGTAGTCAATTATTTAATTATATATTTTTTTTATATTCAATTATACAAGATTTAGCCGAATAATTATATCTTAATATATTTTTATATATTTGTAAATAAAATATATTTTTTCCATATGGAGAAGAATGACAAGTAGCCATAATTTAAGTAGATATGTACATTCGTGATCAGACATTGGTAACAGATAGTCTGAATTGAATGAGACACAATTAAAAATGATCAATTCTATTTCGCAATCTTTATTGAAATAATAAATTTCCTTGTTTCTTTACAGTTCTCCTATTCATTTACTTGTATTTATTATTATTCTTTATTATTTCATTCATTTAATTTATTAATTCAAAATTTTTATGCTGACTTTTTTATTATAACATTGATTTAAAAAATTGGAAAACCTTCCTAGAATTATTATTTCCAATGTTTATATTTATTTAGAAACATTTATTGTAAATAATTGTTTAAAAGTAATATTATTCAATATTTCCAATAGTTGTCCAACTTGTAACTTAGGTAAAATAAGATACCCAAGAAAATCTCCATTTTCTACTTCTAAACATTTCCAGTAATTCAACCTAAAATCAGGTCGTACCATCACAAGCATCTCGGCAAAAAAAATCTAGATCATAAACTTCAGACGTAATGTTGATAAAAAGGTACTTTGGTAATATTAAAGAGAGAAAAAAACCTACGATCACGATAATATTTGAAGAGACGTCAACAGAACGAGCGTAATGATATGAATAAGGTACCAGTCGTACGGATGTCGCTGATGTTAAATTTTCGATAAATTTAGTGAACGACTTTAGTTATGCTGGCTCGATATTGCCATAGAGATGCCCCAGGATCTTTTTCTGACCAATTTTTATCAACCAGTGGCACGCAAATATCGCATCAATTATTTTTGGTATTTCCAACGAGAAGAGAAAACGTCTCCAAGATAAAACCATGAGATTCTTTTCGATACCAAGAGAAAAGACATTTTGAATACTTAATTGATGATAATTATCTGTTAGATTAATGATAATTATTGGATAAAAATAATTATAATACAGTTAAAAAGCTTGTCTCCTGCTTGCGCAAGACTTAGGGAGAAAAATAAGTAGACAATGAAAAAAATAATGGATAACCAGTAGATACTTAAGTGAAAGATAAATGATAATAATAATTACCATCTAATTCACACGAGTGTCGTGTGAATATTTAATTGTTTTAAAATGGAAAGAAGTGATAATTATGATTACAGAGTTTAAAAGAAAAAAAAAAACGTATTACAGTCCTTCAAAAAAAATGGATACGTGAGAATAATTGATGAACCTGAATTACTAAGACTCTCTTTTTAATTCACTTGGGACTCGGATGTGTATTAGTCGAGTGAAAGAACATTTTTTCCTTGCTGATGTATTTATAGCACATTTAACTCAATTGATGTAGACAAATTGTTGTA